TGCCCAATTATTACTCCCATTTTGCCTTGAAGCTAATGCCCTCGAGTGGCAAATGGTGGCAGGAGGAGACTATGGTCCCTATATTCAGAGGGACTGTCACTCTGTATGCAGAGAGGAGGGAGAGGTGTGTGCCTGTTTGCAGCTGACCTGTCTTGGCTGTGTTGTGCAGCTCAGTGTTTTGCTTTCCTTTTCCACTTTTTGGTTTTTTTAAAAAAAGAGACAGGGTCACATGACCACTTCCACTCCTACGGGTTCAAATAAGCCACCAGGGTTTGTGGCATGCTCTGGGTACCTGTAGATGTTCATTCTGTAACCCAGTCCCTGTTCATAGGTTGTGTCATCCGAACCTGGTAAGGGTGAATTGCTAGGCAGTTAAACAAGCCTTGAATAACCCAACAACAAACTCAACAAGTTGTGGCCTCATGTTGAATATTCCGGGTGACCGCCTGGCTGCACCATAGTGCACTATGAATGGGCCCCCACACAGGTATGCTTTCTTTGTGTGTGTGCTTACAAATGATTAAGACAAAGCACCTCTTTGGGGATGTGTATGAGAGACACAGTGGTGCTCATCAGAGAATCAGGATTGGCTGCACCTCACTGGTGGGTGTGCACATTGTGGCATACAGGGCTGCATGCACACCTAACGTGGCACTGCAGTGTATTTTTGAATCTGCTGTTCTCCGTAATTACATTGAAGCTGCTACTCAGCTTTTTTGTACTAACATGCTAAACTGGATGTCTGTGCAATACTTCTTAGTTAAGTTTTATTTTATAACTAAGAATAAAAATTATTAAAGTTTTATGTTTTAAAATTGTATTGACTTGGCCCTTTTTTGCAAGCGGCACAGAGAGTGTTGGGCATTAGGGGGTATGTGAACCAAACTAATAAATAGAGTTGAGAGTTGGTGTGTTTTCCCAGCCGTCTAGAACCCAGTACAAAACTACATCCAGTGCCTTAGCCAATAGAGTATTGCATTCTCCTATTCAGAGTGTCAGTACTGAATCTGAGCATGTGCCTTCAGCTATGTGCTTGCAGAAGTTCTTGGTGTTCCTGAACATTTCTGCAGCACCTCTCACACCCCCTCTCAGTGCCTGACCTGGGTTGTAATAACCTCCTAGACTGCTGGAAAGTAGGTTAGCACCATGCAGTACTCTGGGTAAGTGGACTAGTTGCATAAGCCAAGTTATGTGATGTGCTATCACATAAAATCAGTGATGAATAAATTCCTGGTGATAATATACATTTAGGGAAGTTTGCCTTGTGGGTGGGGAAAGCAGTTTTGTCTTTTTTGGAGCTGAGAGTTTTGCCAGCTGTCAGCAGACCTGTTGCTCCCAGCGAGTCCTCTGCTCCCCCTTGCCTCTCTCTGTCCCCAGACATTTTGGAAGGATTCCAGCTGCACATGTGTCTCAGGAGCTTGTGTGCATGAAGGTCACAGGAGCCAGAATATTTTGCTGGTAAAATAAACTACACAGTATTGTGTACACAGAGTCTCCCTCTCTCTCCCTCTCTCTCCCTCTCTCTCTGCCTTTTGCTCTGTAGCCCATGAGGAATTATCTGTGCTACCTTGAGCTCTTGCTTAAGCTGTGAAAATTCTGTAATGTTGATTCTGTTGTTGCTTCAGGTTTAACTCCTGTGCTGAAGTTTGCTTTTCTTTTGTACTTTGCAGTCAAGAGGAGTCTGGAGGATTCTGTTTTCTGGTGCAGGAGGGACTCATGTGAGCCAGAGCACTCTGAAGACTTTTACCTCTTCCAGTGTGTTCAGTACATGTAACTGCTGAGCAATTGTCTGCAGTTTGGGGCTGAGCATAGTCACCAACAGCTTTCCCTAGGAGCTGGAGAGGCTCAGCTCTCTTGCTTCCTTCGGCAGAGGAAGATATCAATTAGAAAAGTGTGCCTCTTTTGCATCAGCTGCTTGGCAGAGGAAGAGTGGCAGGTGTAGTATAGCAACCCCTGTGTTTCATCTTTTAATGCTGATGTTGTGTCCCAGCAAATGTGCAGCCTGGCAACATCCTGAAAGAAATAATTTCCACCTCTCATTACCGCTGGTGCTTTTAAAAAGCCCCTCTGGTATACTGGAGGCTTTCTCAGTTGGTAGCAATAACTAAATTTCCCACTGTGCCTCCAAATGCAGCTTTTATCATGCAATGGCTTGTCTCATTCATGGAATTTTATGGGAGGGGGTGGAGATGTCATTGTTCCACTTGTAATCCTTGTTCTATCCTTTTACTTAGCATATTGCATACCTTAAGGAGGAAAGATAAAATAGCTTCTATACAATGTCTTTTGATTGGTAGCACTAGGAGTGGACTGTCAGGAAGCACTCTGTATTTGTAGATTTCTGCAATTCCTGAAAGCATAGGTGCTTGGCTGTATTTTGGACTCTTTTGCAAGGCTACTTAGTTCATGGGATAATAAGGAAAGGAAAGAAGCATTTCATGGTGAGAGACCATGGGCTGTATAAATGTAGATTATTGAGAAGGGACTGAATAATGGTACAGTTGTGGTTTCCTGATCACCAGTTTGTGTGACCAGGAACCTCGGAAATGATAAAGCTTGTCTTTGCATGATCTCACATTCATTTGCCTAACCACAAAACACAAAATGTGATGCCTTGTAGTTTATGTGTCTTTGACTGGAAAATTCTTTTTCTTTTGAGATGGCTGTGTGGAATAAACTCAGTGTTGCCTGGCTTTTCCAGGTGGATGGGTTCACAGAGAGTGGTGCAGACTTCTGACATCTGTATCCTCAGGAAACTGGGGAATGAGCAAGAATCTCTTGTAACATAATGGGTAGCAAAGCTGTATTTAAATTCTTATTTATTCAGACTGAACTGCTGGCATGTGCTCTGTCTTCCTCTTTTGAACTGGATTTTCTCCAGACTTGAAGCAAAATTTCATCCTCCCATTCCTACAAAAGTAGCCTTCAGGTTCCACTGTATACAGAGGGGTTCAGTCCCAGGTATGTTTACATAGGAGCAAAGCCTTATAATGGAAAGAGATTTATGTCTACCAAGAAGGAAGCCACATTGAAATCAATGTGACTTACTCTGAGGTAAGTCAACACAGTATTGCAGCCTCATGTGACAGTGGAAATGATGTTTACTGGAACCAGAATGATATCCCCATGAGAGCAATGTGCTTCATCATGCAATGGTAGCTGTCACTAGAATGAATTTTGAAAATTGGAGTATGGGAGAGGGTTGTGAAAGAAAATGGTTTATTCTACCATGCTATGTGATGCTGTAGTACTGTTATTTCAAATTAGAATTCCTACCAGATGGTAACTTAACATGAGCTCTTTATCTCTCCAAACGCTTTAACAACCTCCTTCAGTCGGATTGCATGTATGGTGACTTCTTCCTTTTAACTATGCTTCCAGCGTGTGACCAAAAGTAAAGTGGACGTCCTAATCCGTATCTGTGATTTGTGACTATGATCTAGAGTGACTGATAATAGTATACAGTAGGGAGAAATCGAAGGGAGTAACATTGTTCAGCTGAGTCATGGGAGTGTGGAGACAACTGGTTTTATTTTATTTATATTATTACATTTATATCCCACTCAAGTTTCCTCTGGCAAGGAACTCAAGGTGGCGTGCATGGCTGTGCTCCTTTCTGTTTAACCCTTGCAACAACCCTGTGAGGTAGGTGAGGCCAAGAGTCAGCAACTGGCCCAAAATAACCCAGTAAGTTTCATGGCTGAAAGGAGGCCAGAACTTGAACTCCCAGGTCCTAGCCCAGCATTCGAACCTCTGCATGACACTGGCTGTAGGTCTGAGAAAATGTAACATTTAGGGGTAGCAGATGGAGAATGTAGATCTTTGGAAGTACAGACATGAGCAGCAAAACAGAGTTATGTCTGATGGCTACATATTTTCTTCTTTGTCTAGAGTAGTTGATCCTAGAATGGGGGTAGGAGGTGCTTAAGATGTGGATCAGGCGCCTTGCACTAAATCTAGAGCATAAAATAAAGAAAAGACTCATGTCTGTTTTGCCTTGGAGGAGAGAGAGAATGTTATAAAGCAGAGGGAAGTGCACCATGGGGATTAACAGATCATGGGATTAACAGAACATGGAACATGAAAGGCTATGGTTGCAGTCCTATATTTACCTGGGAGTAACTCTCCTTGAACTCAGAGCTTTGAGTTAAAATTGCGACAAAAAGATTTCTGTGCTTAATACAGTGAGATAGTTCTTTTGGATTTTTTTAAAAAATGTGTGTGATGTGGCTCCAGCGAACCTCTGGTGTAGAGAGAGTGGAAATGGGGTCAGAACACCGCTTCACTTTAGGCAGAAAGGCCTAACTGCAATGTAACCGCATCATGAAGAATGGGCAGGACTTTAGCAGCAGTGTGGCTTCTGTTCGAAATATTCCTTCTTTTGTGACTAGCATGGTGTAGTGGCTAAGAGTATCAGACTGGGACTCAGGCAGTCTGGGTTCTAGTCCTCATTCAGCCATGGAGCCAACTGGGTGACTTTGGGCAAGTCACAGACTCTTAGCCCAACCTACCTCACAGAGTTGTTGTGGGGATAAAATTGAGAGCAGGAGGAAGAGAGTGAAGTAAGCTGCTTTGAATTCGGTGTAAGAAAAAGCACAGAATAGAAGTCAAATAAATCACTCCCTGCTTTGTGCATTTATGGCATGGTGAGGGAATAGATATTGATTTTTTTTGAGAACTCTACTTTTTGAGAGAGTGATTATTTTGAGAACTACTTTTTTGAGAAAAGTAGACTGATAAATTAGCAATTGGAAGCTGGACTAGAATAAAATTTCAGGCCAGCATCAGAATTTGAAGTGCCAATCATGTTCAGATCTTTTGTGTTCATTTTCCTAGTACCTCTAGGTCCTAGTATCAGTGCCATCAGGCCTCTAGAAGGCCTAGCAGCCAAGCATCCCAGATTTTTTTCTAGGCTTTGATAGAAAATCTGAAGCAAATGCTGCTTTGTCTCACTCACTTAGGACCTACAGCACTTAACTGTGCTCTTTTTTTTCTCACAGGCTGTCCTGTTTCACTTAAACTGAGCTTTATGGACTTGTACATGATGAATTGCGAACTCTTGGCAACGTGCAGTGCCCTTGGCTTCTTGGAGGGAGACACATACCACAAAGAGCCAGATTGCTTAGGTGAGAGACCTGGGGTGGAGGAATGTATATTGGAGGTTGAAATGGGAGCTGTGTCTGTTGCAAGCTGTGTGACTCTTGAACTGGGATCCCTGAGCTATAAAAGAGGAGAAAATGGAGTTGGATGTTTTTATTATGTATTTTTAGAAATATTTAAGTTAGAAGCCTTGCACTAGTTGCTTATCTTTGGATGCCTCCGCCCCTCAAAGCAACAGTCTGACTGGATTTGCACTGCACAGCGACTCCATTTGGATAACACATGATGAGTTGTCATGTTGCCTGGAATAAGCAGTTTCTCACAGGATGGTATTCTTTAGTAACAAGCCACCCTGATCAACCATGGCATATTCTAAGGGTTGTGAGTTATGATGTCCTTTAAGCCCAGCAGAGCAATTGCATCATGGGGTACAGGGATTGCCTAGCCAGCCACTCAGCAAAAAGGGCAAGAGCCACTGCGGCTCCTCAAAATCTTGCCCATGGTGGCACAGCTGACAGGCCTTCCAGTAGTGTCCAAGCAGCACTTTAGGGCAACTGTTGCCAGCTCATCACTTTTTCCAAGCCCTAGAGAATTTAGCAATTGTGTTTGTGGGTTGTGTGTGTGTGTGTGTGTGTGTGTGTGTTTTTTTTTCCAGTCTTTTGCAAGTGCACAGGAACATCCTTCAAGCTGTCAGATATTTGCAGTTTTAACTGGTTGATTTCCTTGTCTTTTTTCAGCTGACAAAGGGAGTGACAAAGTGAAGTAGGTAATGAACTGACAAAGTGAAACTGCCTATAGGCAGCTTGGCTCACAGTTACCTAGCTGTTTATTGAAAAGCACTAATAAAGGGAGAAGCTGGTCAGGGAGACACCATTACTGCCTTAGCAGTGTAATCCTCTAAATCTTACATGTACAACCAACACTTCTCAGTGCCCTCCAGCTTTTCATCACTTCCCTGAATCTGCAGCTTCTCCAGAAAGGGTGGGGAGGGTACCAACTTCCCTCTCCAAACTTCTCAGCTTCTCTTTTGGAGCACTTTTTGCTGTGGTTACTGCAGTTCTCTGAAAGTTCTAAAACAACAACTGCCCTGAGAAGGCAGCCGAATGAATGGGATGAGTGTAAATATTAATTAATTGTTCAATTACTTCAGGTGCACCCCCTTTTACTTCTCAGCCACTAAATTTGCATATATTTCTGCAGTGGGGTAACCTTTGGAATCACCTTAACTGCAGTACAGAGCGCTCTAAAAAGGAGCCATGAAAATGGAGTAGGATTATCTCTCTCTTTTCTGGAATGGCTGAAGACTTGGAAGTGATCAAAAGGTGGAGGGCACTGAAATTTGTTGGTTCAACACTAACAGTGGTAAGGGCAAAGGGGTGATGCTACTCTTCTCTCCTTTTGGAGCTCTGACATTCACTGCTTTTCCCCCTTTATAGGTACTTTTTGGTTGACTGCTAGGCAAGTTGCACAGATTTGCCTGTAGAAAATCTCAGCTTTTCAGTCTGTTTTCTATGCCACTTTGCTGTTCTCTTGGGTAGCTGAAATGAACAAGGAAATGGACTAGGCAAGAGTGTATTTATTGACAGCAGCAAGTGCACTTCTGCATAATTTCAACAAACCCAAGACAAAACTAATAGCAATTAAAAAATTACAAGTGCAGTTGTACAATTATCTGGGCCCAGAGAAAAACTCAAGCCCAGCTGCACATTTTTGAGGCTCCAAAAAGAAAAAAAAACAGCAAAAGAAATGCAGTAGCAGGTATTGGGAGGCTGAGAAAAGATGGGATACCAGCTGCTGGACTGAGAGGGAAGGAGCAGGAGAACAAACTGTGCAGAGCCCTGTCATCTGTCTCACCAGGTAGCTTAAGGGTAGAGTAGCATTGCGAGTGGTGTGAATGTGGCCCCTGTCTTGCTGTTAAGGTATTGAAGTCCCTTCCTGATGCGTTAGTGCTTTAGAGGGTGGGATGGGAGCATCACATGCTCTTGCTTCACACCCGCTTCCTTGCCCCTCCCACGTGGCCTGTATCCAGAGAGCGTGAAGGACTTGATCCGCTACCTTCGTCATGAGGATGAGACTCGGGATATCCGGCAACAGCTGGGAGCAGCACAAATCCTGCAGAACGACCTGATCCCTATCATCATCCAGTACCCCCAGGAGAAACAGCTCTTTGATGCTATTATCAGGTAACTGGGTTGGGGGAGCAGTGGCTGGCTCTAATCAGTATAATGCAAGGGTGGGCAGCTTCCGCCAACTGGATGTTTTGGGTGATGGAAACTGTAGTCCAAAACTTCTGGAAGGCCCCATGTTGTCCACTGTTTTACGAAAGCTTAATCATGAGGGATGTGTGTAGCTGATGACAATGTCGAAATGAAATTGGTAGCAGTCCAGGGTGTGGCAGCACCTTCTTTCTGAGCATGGCTTTATTAAATGATCTGAGCAAATGGGTCTTCTTTAAAATGCATCCCATAATTAAGAATTTGTTGGATCTTAACAGAGCCCCAGGGAAAGTGTACATATACTCAGTCCACTTGGGTTTAGAGTGCTCCTGATAATATGTGCAAGTCCTCACCCTTTCTTCTCACCCCCACTCTGCATCAAAAGAATAGATTAACTAGTAGAAACCTCAGCTCTGTAACTTCTGTCTAGTAGCCCAGGTTTTGCACCAGTATCTTATTGAAGTTGAAGCTTGGTTTGGACTTGAGTTATTTTGCAATAATTGACAGGTCGTCTCTTTGCTTCCTCCTTTTTCCCTTCTAGGTTAATGGTAAATCTTACCCAGCCAGCTGTTCTCTGCTTTGGCAAACTCCCCCAGGATGCCAGCTTCCGACATCACTTCCTACAAATCGTCTCTTACCTGCAGGCTTACAAAGAAGTGAGTAGGTGGTGCTGCCCCCTCCTTTGTTCCAGTTGTTTCTGGGATAGTGAGACCATAAAGAAATGCCTCATGGCTTTTAGAGGGGCACTATTCTTGTAGTCATTTGGAAGGACTTTCAGCTTAAAGTTTTACCCCATTCAGACTGAAGATCATAGGTGGGAGGACAGGGGGAAACTGCAGCCTTCTTGAATTCAGCTTTCAGCATCCATGACCACTGGTCATACGGACTGTAGTGAAGTGTCCAACATCCAGAGATCTACCTTCCTTTTTTTTTTACTATCTAGCCATCTTTTTAGGATCTTCCTCCTTGCTGTGTTGAAGTTGCACTCTTTCTTTCCCAGGGGAACTGATAAACTTTCTTTCCTATCTGTAGGCGTTTGCCAATGAAAAGATATTTGGGGTGCTGAGTGAGAAACTGTATGACTTGCTGCAGCTGGTGAGTGTGTTGCAAAGGAGCTCGGACATGCAGGTTCTCAATCCACATATCATTATGCTTTATATTTTTCACTGATATTGCCCTGGCCTTTTGGCTCAAGAATCCATTTTGTTCTGTAAGAAGCCACAGAGCTGTAGGTGTGGAAAGCTGCCAAAAATGACAATATCCTGGAAGTTGGCTTCATGGACAGAGTTACTGTGTAGGTGCTTCCTTGGTTGATTAGGTTCCCATGAGTCTGCTGAATGCAAATGTTGGCCTGACTGTCAAACCGCAACCTGGTTAATCTGCGAGGGCACCTTTAAAAATTGGCCATTCCAGAGTCTTGATGGAAATGTGGCCCAATTTTAAAGTCTCACAAGTGTATGAGTTTAGATAACATTTGGCCATCCCAACCCTCTTTTGGCTGTCCCTCTTGGTTCATCTCTGAGAAGTAGCCAGGGTCCTCTTGGCTTCCAAAATAGTTCCTTATGATCTTCCTCTAGCATAATCCCCTGCTCCGCTCTGGTGCGTAGAGCACATTTCCGGGGCCAAGTCCCTTCTTCTTTTTATTGAACCACTTTGTTGCCTCATTTGCCTGGAGAAACCAATTTCTCTTTTACACATAGAAAGCTTTACTGCGTGGGAAATTGCACAGTCGTTCCAAATATGGATTCCATACATAACACAGCACCACTTATGAGATCCCTCCTTCCATTTTGGGTACATTGCAGGGAACTGCAACTTACAAATTGTCATTTTTGAGTCCAATGGTAATGGTCAGAGAGGGAATCTGTAGCATTATCTGCCACCAAGTTTCTTGAGCCAAATGCAACCATTTTAGTCACCTTTTAAACCTTTTTGGGGAATTCTTGTCTAGTACATTCCTTGCCTGTTTTTTCCAGTCTCCCTGCCTCTATCCCCATGTTACTGTTTTGACTGGTTTAGTCAGAGACCTAAGGAGAAGCCCCATTCTAAAACTCCAAGTTCAGACTCTTTATAAACCAAATTGTGTTGTCTCCGGGCTTAGAACCCAGTGATCCACCCGTGGTTTATTCTAGGGTTAACTGCAGGGTTGTTGGTCCCCTAAACAGCCCAGGGCTCAAGGGTTGCACATCATGCTCAGCAGTCTATGACTAGGCTTATCACAGGGTGTTGATTGAAAACAGACACAAGGAACACACAGGGGGCTGTGTACATGGCAAATTGTGGGTTGAATGCAAACTGGGTCAGTGTATATGGGGATCTTATATAATGATCTGTCCATTCCTTCCTCAGGACTGGGAACAGCGTCAAGAGGAGGATAACCTCTTAATTGAGCGCATCCTACTTCTGGTGCGCAATGTGCTGCATGTTCCAGCTGATCCCGATGAGGAAAAGGTACTTGTGTGAGGGCAGGTGCTTGGATGCGGTTGGACTGATACCCATCTAGGGCTCTGCATGAAACCATGGAAGAACCAGTGCTGGAGGGTTCACGGTGCTTCACATGCACCATCTCTAGACACTTGCAATAGCTGCTGCTGTACTGCTCCCCCTGTTGCAAGGGTGGGACTTGGCTGGGTGACTGTCACTTGCCTAAGCCATCATCTGAACCAGAGGCTAAGCTGCAGCTAAGCCTCGGTCACTGACCAGTCAAAGAAAGAGGGAATGAGTTGTGCTAGCTGCATGTGAGAGCCTTATCTCCTTCTGTAAAGTTACAAAACTGAGAGCTATATTTTGAAAAATACTCCTTTGAGCTGCGTTTTGAAAAATCCTCCTTTGTTGCTGGCTTCCTCAGTCCTTGCAGCCATGCTTGTATTGGTGGTGGTGTAGATTTCCATGTGCAGGCAGAGTTTAGTCAGTGAGACACCTCTTCTGCCATGTGGTGTCAGTTAGAGTATACATTGCGTTCTATTTCTTGACACCGCAGTTCATTCCCAAATCCTTACCTTATTTTGAAGGACCTTGGAATGTGTGTTGGAATGTAGTTTGAAAACTGCTGTTGGAGATTGGCTTTCTTCTAGGCAACCAGTGGGGTTCTCCCCTCCCTCCCTTGAAGGAAGGTCCTCCTTCAGTATGAGAGCCCCAGTGCCCTAGAGGACTCAAGCCCCGACGTTCTCTTCCACAGAGCATCGATGATGATGCAAGCACCCATGATCGTGTGTTATGGGCCATGCACATAAGTGGCATGGATGACCTGCTGAAGTTCTTGGCCAGTTCCCAGAGTGAGCAGCAGTGGAGCCTGCACGTGCTGGAGATCATTTCCCTTATGTTTCGGGACCAGGTAAGCAAACAAGTGGAGCTGGGGCTGAGAAGCTGGTCTGAGCAAGGCAACTGATTTCTTCAGGTGGCTTCTAAGTACCTGGTGGGTCGCCAATTGGCTTGCCTGTTGAAGAAAGGGCATTGGAAGCAGTTTCCATGTTGGAAGTGGAAATGAATCCTCAGGAATGTCATGGCATTCAAATAGCTGTCAAAAGGAAGGGGAGGAAATGGGAAGGTTGCGTATTGATATAAGAGGGAGATGGCAAGAAGTTCCCCTCTAAATGTTGGAAGCTATGTGTGATGGCTTTGTGGTGCAGTGGAGTAGAAAACAGAGGTCATTAACAGTAAAAGGGAGGAAATCAAAGACAAATTTGATTCATGGGTATTATGCCTTCAGTTACTACGTGCTTACATAATAGAAACCAAAGGATGTCTTGAGAATACTCAGGTTGTCTGTTGTCTGAGATTGCAATGGGTTAATTGGTTGAAACTAACATGGCTGTTCCCATGTTAATGTTTTACAATACCTCCATCAATGGAAGTGTTCAAGCAGAGATCAGACAGCCATCTTGTTAAAGTGCTTTAAATTGGATTCCTGCCCTCCACAAAGGGTTGCAGTTGATGGCCTAAGGGACCCTTCCAAATCCTGATTCAGAACCTTCTCCAAATTGATGCTTGGAAATGAGGGAGATGGATCAGACTAACTAATGCAGCTTTGGCTGACTTATTCTCGTCTGAGATGGAATTCTGTGGAGCTGTTTGGATCAATGTTGCTTGGGTTTTAGAAGGCCACTAAAAACAATGTCCCCCATAGAAACCAGAGCAGCTGGCAGCCACAGGGCAGGGCTGCTCAGCCAAGGACCGAGTCGCAGATGTAGCAGAGCTGGAGGTCCTGAGGCAGAAAGAACTGGCTGAGAAGAAGAACCGTGTATTCCAGCGGAGCAGCAGGTGAGGGTCAATAAGGAGGCTGTGTTTGGGGCTTGCTATTGTCTTCTTCCTGAGGGTTGTGGATCACCTCGGTCACTGGACCATCCTAGATTCAGAGTCTCTTGTCAGGGACGTTCGGAGAAGGCTGTTTTGCATCCCCTACTTTCTCATTCTTTTTAACTGGAGATGCCAGAGATTGAACTTGGGACCTACTGCTTGCAAAGCACAAGCTTGGTGCTTGGCCCTTGTCTCTTCCCAGATGAACCTATGGGAATATCAGGAAGGGAAACCCCACCAAGAACTGCTTTGGGGAGGCCTCTCTTTCCTTATGAGTGCTGCCTGTTTCTGTTCCAGCCCTGATGTCCTATTAGCCTGAGTTCTGTAATCCCTCACCTGTCCTGGGGCCCTGGTATATCTGGGGAAGCAGTACTGCCCCTGTTCCTGACAGCTCCACAACCTTGAGTATCATGCAAAAAGAGGCAGGAAGTACTGCATAGATGAGCAAGCTCTTGGTTGATTCTGACAGTGGGCTACCACCGCAAGTACTGTGCACGGGTGGTGAATCACACTTGGCCTGTGAATTGTGAATGGGCATTCAGACTGTGAGTAGTAGAATGGGAGAGTGGAGGAGTGCAAAGAAGTAGTTTGGGAGGCACTGACGTCCCACCCTGCAGTTATTTTACCTTTGATCTTTTCAGTCAGGCACTGTGTATATACCTACATGCCTTGCTTCACAAAGCCTGAGCGTTAGAACTGTGCTTAAAACAGGGAGATAGAGAGGGAGACATGACAGTAGATATTCTCTGCCTGAGACTCTAGGCAGCCACTGGCAGTCAGATAATCCGTGGACTGGGGGACAGATCATCTCAGTTGTCCAAGACAGCTTCTTCTGTTTCTCTTTCAATCAAAATGTGCTGTTCTCCTAAGAAATGCTTCTATTTGGATGTCCATCCTCCCCTTCTTTTTTTCTGCGCTGCAGGCACTCTCGGTTTGGTGGCTGCTACATCATCCAAGGCTTGAAGTCTATTAGTGACAGAGATGTGGTGATACACAAGGGGCTACATAATGTAAGTCAATTTAAGGCGTTGTGCATTGTGCACGGGGTCTGGGAGGGCTGGGATTTGTTTGTCTACTATAATTGTACCATGAAAGCGTGGAATGCTGTGGGCAGACACAGTGATTGCATTCACATGTCACAACAACAACCCCACATGGTTTCCCTGGTGTGCAGGTTTTTGCTTGGATGTGTCTGACAGGCAATTAAGTGGTTTCTACACTAGCATAGTTTCTACCCTCCTCTCCCAGTCCTCCTGCTGTTCGCATGTATCCAATCAGCTGACATGCCTGAAATGAAAGCCATGCTAGATGGCTGGAGCAGCTCTTGCAGCAGCTGCCACCCTTTCCAGGGAGTCTGTGGTAACGGTGTAACAGGTCTGTAGAAACCATGATTCCTCGTTCCAGTGATCAGAGAAACCATGATGAAGCACAGAAACCATAGAACAGATTGTTGTTTCTTATTGCACTTTCTAAAAGCCAAATGTACCAGGTTGGAATACTGTTACAGGGTTCAGATGACACAACAGACCACCCTGTACAAGAAACCGCAATGGCTAATCATGTCATGCAAGCCTTCCCATTACCTAGTTTGCTCTGAAGTCTCTACCACACATTTGTAGCCCTAAAGTTTGCTTGTGGCTGTTCTGGCAACATGAGATTTGGATTAAGAGAAAGTGTTTCTACTCTCAAATTCCTTAATCATGAGTTGATTTTTTGCCACATCTATAATTGTTTATGACCAGCCAGTGGAACTTCCCAAACCTTGTTATTTACACACTTTAGAGTGTCATATAATTTGTTTGATTTTCTGAAAGGGAAACTAGATTTGTCATGTATGTGGTACATAGAAAGCTCCTGTAACACTCAAACAAAGCAGTACTTCTGGAAAAAATATACAGCACTGTCTAACACACATGCTCTTCATAATCATTTTCCACAATTAAATAGATTGGTCATTTTGATTCCTGGGATCTAGCAGGAGGAGGAGGCTATAGTAAGCCAAGTTTTTCTGTACAGTTTCATTTTCTTTCTCATTGGTGGAATCATATGGAGGCATATACTGAACCTGATATTCTCTAAGAATTTTAAACACATCATGATGTCCAAAGGGCAAAGCTTCATCTGTAGGAATGTTGTTTTGGGGAGGGAGGGGGGGATGGACACACCTTGCAGGCTTCCAGCAAGACTTCAGCTCCCTCTACACAACCTTCTGCAGCTGCTACATGCAATGCTGTCCAGGAATCACCAACTCTCCGCTCCATGTCCAAACTTGTTCCTTCAAATGTTGGTAAGTTTCAGAAGGGCAAGGGGGGCTAGAAGAGGGGGATGAGTGAGTGAGGTGTGAGGAGAGTGAAATAGATGCTTTCAATCAGAAAGTTCCAGTCTGTCAGCAGTTACAGTTAGTTGGAATCAGCCAGCAGTCTGCAAAATCTGAAGAGGCAGCCTTCTCTTTAGAATCCTAGATAGTGCCATGGAAGGAAGGCAGTTAGGATTCATATGGACAAAGGAAAAGAAGTAGAATACTTTTAGGACATACTAGTGACTAGGGAGAGTCAAAACCTAATATTGTCAAGTATTTATAAGGGTGTGAGAGAAAGAAGCTTACAGATACCTGAGTGTGGAAGAGAAAGGAGGATTTATGAGTGAGGAGTATTTGAAGGGAAAGAGCAAGATCAGAAGTCTTTATTATACATGGTGTTATTCACTAAGGAAATAAGTTACAGAACATCTTGAAACCAATATGCTTCTTGTACAAATAAAGTTTTATTTTGTTTATTGTTAATTCAGAGTCATAGGCTGTTTGAATACCAGGCTTTGACTCTCCCTAGTTGCCAAGATGCCCTCTAAGTGTTCTGCTTCCTTCTGAGGAATCTTAAATGCTTTTCACAGCACTACACAGGATCCAGTGAGAAGGCTGTCTCTTCAGACTCTGCAGATTTGCTGACTGACCAACGCTCTGACTGTTACCTGCTGGCTGCCTGACTGATAACTTTCTGTCTGAAGCCTCCTCTCTCCTCACACATTTCCAAGCCCCGCACAGACACTCAGAGTCACCAGAAAATCACCTCACTCACTGATCCCCCCTTTTTACCTCCCCCTTGCTCTTCTGAATCTTGCTTTCAAGATTTTAAGACCATTCAAAGAAACACAGTCTCACAACACTTCAAATCATTACATATCCCCCCTTTCTCCTTAAATGGAACACATCTCTTTTCCCAAAGAGTTGTGTGCAGCTTTCTCTGGCATAGGGAGTATTTTATAGTCTCTGTAGGTTCAAGTAAGTTCATTTCTCACTCTTCTGTGGTATTTAGTTTAAAGTCTTTGGTTCCTTTAACTCATGGTCCAGGGTTTTGTCCTCCTCCCTTTGGACTAAGGTCATTGCGACTTTGGTCTTCTCTGCTAGGTTGTTTGCTTCTACTGGACAATCAGTATTGTCAGTATTGTGTTTGATCCTGATTTCACATCTCAGTAAGTGTTGGCTATTATGTTATCTTTGCCTTTGATATATTGGGTGTTGATATTAAATTCTTGGATGTACCAAATTGTATTACTCTTAACTCAGAGTCACAGGCTGTTTAAACACCAGTGTCTCATCCAGTGGACCACATAGTCCAGTGAAGGACCCTTATAGCTTGGGCATAACACTGTGAGAGAAGTGAATAAGATTGGAATTAAATTCCTGGTGACAGCATTACATACTGAGAGAAAGAGAGGGGAACATCAAGAAGCTAAAGGTGCACCATGTCCACACAAATTAAAGGAAAGTACTAGTGACACGTATGTTTACATCCCACAAGCTGTCTACAGCTCCTCTCTTACTCTTCATAGCAGAGGCGCACAACCTGCAAGCCACGTGTAGTGCCCAGGTGCTTAGGTGCTTGTTGTGTGGTTGAAACTTCTTCCACCTACCAGTGATCCCAGAGCAGCTGGAACTGTTGATTCTGCACAGCTACTGTGTGTGCGTGTGCACGTTCCACTCTAGTATATGCACACGCATGTGTCTCTTCCTCTGCCCCACCCTTGGGGTCAAAAGCTTTCTGTGATGTGGTCTTACACTGAGATAAATGCTTTTCTGAATTTTCTTGGCCTGTCAGAACCTGGCTGTACTCGAAGTTCAGGTCTTTTCTTTCCTCCATTGCTACAAAAGGTTATAAGGTTTCTTTCTGAAAAACCCATGACTGCCAAAATGGTGGATTGTTTTGTTGTGTTCCTCCCTGTGTTTCCGTACATGATAATGCCAGCAGGACTTGTCCGTAGGTAGAGGAGTACTAGTTATGCCTTCATGCTCTCTCCCCACTGCCCCCAAACCTTGTCTGTGCTCCCTCCCCTTCCCGCACAGCTGAAGAACTACAGCCATGATCTGGGCAAGGAGGTCCATCGGGTGCCCAGGAGGCGCCAGCTCGCTCCTGACAGCGAGGGCACCCCTCGCCGCTCAGCCCTCAATGTGAGAATCTTCCTCAAGGAGTTCTGTGTGGAGTTCTTGGAAAACTGCTACAATCGACTCATGTATCTGGTGAAGGTAGGCATGAACTTCGTACTCTCTAAGGAAGCAGAGGCATGGCTAAGGGCAGGGTCTCCCAAGAGAGGGTGGAGAATAGTGCTGGGAATGAAGGGCAGTGCTGTGGAATGGACATTTTGGTTCCTGCATAGCAGGTCTTAGGTGTCATTAAAGGGCAGCTTATTGTCTGAAAAGCCCAAACAGCTGTTTCTTTGCCAGCTGTGCTTTGCATCTGAGGGCCTGCTCTGTGTCCCACCAGCTTAGAAGGTGTGCTTGGTGGAGCCAGCAGAGTGGGGCTTTCTTGGCAGCAGCACCCAGATAACAAAACTCCCTTCAGAAAGAAGCCTTCTGTTTCTTGAGTTTTTGAAGGGCAGCAAAACAGTTTTTATGCTGCCATGGCTTGAATCTGCATTAACCTAGTGCTGAGCAGTTTTGTGTTTTCATTTATAAATAAACAAATATTTTAAAAGTCACACATTTTGCAAAATAAGAAGAAGTGTGTCAGTTTATATCCTTGGTATGGAATTTGAGCTGTTCTGAATTAAGACTTCCGGGAGTTCAGTGTGTGCTTAAGAGGAGCACCAATGAGAAGGGATGCTACAGGATCAGCTACTGCCTTCCAACATGCTCACCTTTCTCCTTCCCTAGGATCACCTGGTTAGAGAGAAGGCTCAGCAGCATGATGAGACCTATTACTTGTGGGCCATAGCCTTTTTCATGGCATTCAACCGGGCCTGCTCTTTTCAACCTCAGCTGGTTTCTGAGACTGTTGGAGTCCGGACCTTCCATTTCATTGAGCAGAGTCTGACCAACTACTATGAAATGATGCTTATTGATAAGAAGGAGGCCACGTCTTGGTCCAGAAGGTAAGCTTATGGCTGTATGGAATGAATGGTCTTGTGGTTTTCCCATTCTTCCTTCAGCTGTGTGGCTGTGAACAAGTCCCACCGCTCTGTACCTCCAAGGGATTCTTGCCTCTCCTCCTCCCTTTCTTGTGTCCCAGGATGCATCTGGCTCTCAAGGCCTACCAAGAGTTGCTGATGACTGTGCATGAAATGGACCGCTCGCCAGATGAAGCTGTGCGCCACAGCAGCCACATCTTAAAGAGTGAGGGTTTTTCGTTATAAGTAATTACAAAACAAGCTTAGAAACCTGCAGTGCAATTTTCTGGAATAGTATTCTGGGTTTCCTGGCTATGCTAGGTAGGGATGTGCCAAGTCTCTCTGGAACCTGGTTCGTGCTTGCCCATTGAACTTCCAGTGTTTCTCCCTCCTTAAGGAAGAGAACTTAGCCTGGAAAAAGCCTGTGAGCGTTCACAGAACCCTGGTTGCACAACCAGAAATCTTCCCCAGTTGCCATTCCTGGCAACCAGCCTCCCTCCCCATGCACTGCTGCTGCCACCAGTGGCAACATGCAGGGAAAACGGGAGTGCAAGCAGGCGCGCCTGCCACCATTCCCAGTGACCAGCCATGGTGCTGCTTGCACAGTGCATGGGGCTCGATTCCTGGGGACCCTTGGGGCACTCGTCAGGGACTCTGGGCCACTGCAAAGCAGACTGGAATCCAAGAAGCCAGAAACCAGGAATCCAGAGGATCTTCCACCCAACGCAGATTCCTCACATATCCCTAGTGTTAGGACCCAGTGGCTGCTGTGTTCCACAAGTGAGGACTGTGTCTGTTTGGAAGCGGAGGGTAACTTAGGAAGGCTGGTATCCTTTGCAGGGAGGATGCAGTTGGCTGCCAAAGGTGTCCTTACTGATTACATGGACAGTGGACAGAAGAAAAGATGGTTGTCTCTCACTTCTGCTGCTCCTCAGCTCTTGCTGTCATCTCCCAAGGACCAGGCAGAGTTGGGAAGGAATCGAATTGCAAACTTTTCCTCCTATCATAGTTTCCTAGACAAGGAAATGCTGTCATTACTTGTAGGTCTGGCTCAAACCACTGACAGCCACTTTTATTTATTTACTTTCTCCCCTAGATAACATTTTCTATGTGATGGAGTACCGCGAGCTGTTCCTCACTCTTTTCCGTAAGTTCGACGAAACTAAGCAGCCCAGGTCATTCCTCAAGGACCTGGTAGAGACCACGCACCTTTTCTTGAAGATGCTGGAGAAATTTTGCAAGGGGAGGAGCAACCTAGTGGTCCAGGTATCTTGGTGTATGGGGGTCAGAAGATCTTATTTAATTACCATGAGAATGTTTTGGCCGAGATACCCCACTAATGTGTGGTTTTTATTTGCTTCATTTGTATCCTGCCCTTCCTCCAAGTAGTTAAGGGCAGTCCAAGGGTCCCTCTCTCCCTTGCATGTTATCCTCATAATGATTTATCAGGTCTGCTCATCTGATAGGGAGTAGCTGGACCAGAATCATCCAGAAAGTTTTGCAGCTGTGTGGGGATCTGAGCCTCTCTTTTCCATCCCTCTTCCAGCCTTCCCCCACCTAGTGCCCTCTATATGCATAGGTCTTTGATTCCTGGCAGCCCACATGCAGTATTTGTGCCATTTGGCCAGTCCAAAAAAATCAGGAGGGCCCCAGGCCAGGGAAGGCTATCTGAGTTCACCATTTAAAACACTACACACCATATCAGCAGGGGTAGGGCTACAAGGGTGTTACAGGGTGATTGTCCCACTGGAAACTAGTTTTTGGACTAATAAAATCCCTCTCCATTTCTGAGGTCCTAACTAGCTCAAAGCTTTGTATCCATTTTTTAAACTTGGTGTACTATTTTCCACATGTCTCAAGATAGCTTATAGAGTTAAAAGATTACTGTTCTAAAATACCAATGAGACAAAATGAATAATATTAGAAAAACCTATTAAAATTGCAGAATATTCAAATTTTGGCATCAAGTGTAGTGTGGTGGTTAGAGTGTTGACTAGTGCCCAGGAGAACCAAATTCGAGGCCCCACTCAGCCATGAACTAGCCTAAACTGCACTACTGCAATGCATTCTACATAGGGCTGCCCTTGAAGACTGTTTGGAAGGTGCAGCTTGTGCAAACTGAGGCAGCCAGATTATTAACAGGGACCAGACAATCTGAACATATAACACCAATTCTGGCCTGCTTGCATTGTCGGCCTATATGCTTCTGAGCCCAATTCAAGGTGCTGGTTTTGACCTATAAAGCCCTACATGACTTGGGACCATGATAACCGATGGAACAACTCTCTCGACCTCCGTCTGCTCTGACACTATGATCAAGTTCTGGGGCTCTTCCCCAGTTGCCACCTCTGAGAGAGACTTGGATGGTGGCCACAAGAAGAGCCTTTTCAGTGGTGGACCCCAGTTACAGAACGAGCTGCCCACTGAGGCCTTCCTGATGCCAATTTTACTACCATTTTGGTGCAAGGTAAAGAACGTGCCTCTGCTGAATTAGTTACTGAGTACTGCTGGTTGTTAGACAGGGTTTAACAGGGACTTTTCAGCATACAGTTTTGTTTTTCTATTTTTATTTGGTTTAAAATTTTGTATTACTAATTTTTATGTTTTAATTGGTATAATTTATATTGTTTTTAAATATGCTGTTGTGATCCACCCTGAGAGCTCTGGCTGTTGGGCAGTATAGAAATTAATTAAATAATTAAATAAATCACTGGCTGACTTTGGGCCAGTCACGAACTCTCAGCCTCACCTACCTCACAGAGTTGTTGCTCTGAGGATGACATGGAGGGAAGGAGAACCTTTTAAACTTCCTTGGGTTCCTTGCGAGAGCAAGAATGGGGGAAATTAATGTGGTGGTGATGATGTTCATCAAATATTCCCAGTTGTATCTTCATCATTTTTTCTACTTATCCTTCTTGAAGAGAAAGTCCTTTTGTTTTTAAGATCTGTGCTTTGTCATATGATTTTCCATCAAAATGGCTGTCAAAGCAGCTTACGGTTAGATAAGTAATGGCAGTATCATTTTAGAATTAATTAATGCAATATGTTCTGTCCAAACGAATGCAATTAAAACTAACAGCAGCAACCTAAACAGTCTGACACGCCTTCAAAGGCTCAGTTTTGGGGGAGGATTCTGAGACCAGAAGTGCTGGTCAGCCAGGCATGGTTTGAGAAGTGCTGGTCAGCAAGGCATGAACCACAACCATGAAGACTCTTGTTTCTGTTGCCCTGAGTTCACCTGAGGGTCAAAACCTGTGTGGGGAAGGATTCTGGGAATGTAACACTTCTCTCCCATGTTTCTCAAAGGCTGGCTCAAAGACAAAGTGACTTTTATTGCAGCAGAGCAAGAAATCCAAGAAGAAGAAGAAGAAGGCCCTGGCTCGCCATACTGGGTCAGATGTGCATTCCCATTCTCCCGAAGAGCTGGAGGAGATGTGGCCTAGGCTGGCTGAGCAAATCAAGAAATGCACAGAGGTAAGATCTTAGGCTTGGTGCAGGAGCCAGGATTTCTGGGTTTTGGTTTGTTTTTTTTAAACTTTCTCAAAGAAGGGGGATTTTCTCAGGTTTATATAGTGTATAACCAGATAATGGGACATGCAGGAAATAGGAAAGCAATTCTACATTCTGTATGGTGTCTTGTGTGCAAAGTCCTTTATGACCTTTGAGGAGGAAGTGAGCATAGCTCAGCTGCTGCAGCCATGCTCTCTATGTAGGACGGTGCAGGTTCAGTTCCTGTTATCGCAATAGATGTGAAAGAGGCTCTGCCTGAACCTCTGGAGCGCAACTGCCAGGCAGTGCGGAGTACTGGCCTAGATGCACCAGTGTTCTGGCATGGCACCCATGGTAGCTCCCAGTGATTCAGAATCTGCAAGTTTGATAATTTGAGCACACTAAAGAAGAGAAGCTCTGGCAAATTACAAGGGCCATTCCTCTCCTTCAGTTGATTTACAATAAAAACGTAGTATTTTGCAAAATGCAACTTTGTTACTTTTTAAAAATAAATATCACCCAGTGATGTGATGCTTAGGATGCTGACCTTTGTGCAAAGGCCAACAGTGCTTTGCAGAACTTTTTTCCCAATGTTTCTTCCTGATGATGGCAAGAATGTTCAGGTGTGCATGCAGTTCTCTATGGCAGCTGGAGAGAGGTGCCGTATAACAAGCTGCCTCACTTACTTACTTACTTACTTACTTACTTACTTACCTACTTACTTACTTATTTATTTATTTAAAATGTTTCTTGGCCACCTTTCAGAACAGCAGCCTTGCCAAGGTTCTGTTCTAAAACACAGACTATAGCCCAGTACAGCATCAAATACAATAAAAACAGGAATAATGCGATGTAACCATCAGCAAACATCAGGAAAAGGCCAGAGTAAAGTGCCTTTTTCAGGAGTGTCTTAAAAACCTAGATACCCAATGGCAGCTTTTTCTAAATGAATGGGGCTACTGTGGAAAAGGCCCTCTTTCATATGGTCACCCATCCAATTGCTATCATGGGTGGGTAAATGAGAGGGGCTTCTCTTGCTGATCTTAAAACGCAGGCGGGTTGATACAGATACTAGTCCAAAACTGGGTCAGGTGCCTTCCACTCCAAATCCAGGTTGACTTGCAAAATTGAAGTACCGTATTTTTTGCTCTATAAGACTTACTTTTCCCCCCTCAAAAGTAAGGGGAAATGTCTGTGCGTCTTATAGAGCGAATATGTGTGTGCAGTAAGTCTGTCAGATGTGCAGCCCATGGGGAAGTGATGGGGAATGTGCCTGTAATTATGTGCCCATTTGATTCAGAATATTTTTTTCCTTGTTTTCCTCCTCTAAAAACTAGGCACGTCTTATAGAGTGAAAAATACGGTAGTTTCATAAATGTTCAACCCAGTGCTGAGAGTGTGGGACAGTGCTTTGTCAGAAGGCTTGATAAAAAGGGATGTATGGAATATTGGCAAGAGCAGAGATGAAGAGAGAGAAGGTGGTGGTGGTGAATTAATGGTGTTTCCTTTTTAGTTACTTTCAAGCTGGTGGACTTCTACAGTCCAATTGCTTTTCTAAAATTCTTCTGTGATTGGGTAGATGCTTGCAAAGTCTTTGTGGGATGACCGGAAACGTATATTGGACATGACAAAGCAGAGGACCTTTTGTGTGAATCTGCCTTTACTCCTCCTTCGGCATCTTCTACGTTCAGAATCTCGCACTCCTGGGAATTCATGTAGGAATGTGTTCTCCCCTTCAGGGTTCTGAGCCTCTTCCAGAGAGCATCGTTCCCTTTGATGCAGCCTCAGAAGTCTCAATGGAGGATCAGAGAGCTGAAGCTATGATACGGATTCAAGACAGCCTGCTAGGCGGCCGAGCATCTGAAGCACTGTCCCTCTTACATTCAGCGAGGTAAGAAAGCCACTCAGACTGCTTTTCTGTGTCATTATAGCTTGTGGATCAAACCTACAGTTCTGTATGTTGCTACCTGTGCACACAATTCCATTCTAAGCCACATCTAAACCTGAACCATGGAAGCAGGACAGTTACAAAAAGAGCTCTTCCAGATAAGTGAGAGCCAGTGTGGTGTAGTGGTGAAGAGCATGGGACTGGGACTCAGGCAATCTGGGTTCTAGTCCCCGCTCAGCCATGGAGCCAGTTGGGTGACTTTGGGCCAGTCGCAGACTCTCAGCCCAACCTTCCTCACAGGGTTGTTGTGGGGATAAGATGGAGGAGGAGATGTAGGCTGCCTTGAGCCCCTTGTAGGAAAAAGGCAGGATATAAACCGATAGATAGATAGATAGATAGATAGATAGATAGATAGATAGATAAATAAATAAATGGGCTTTGAAGCTGTTTCAAATCTTTTTGCCTCTGGTGAGGGGTGCCTATGACTGTGCTTCAAGACATTAAAAGTTTATTTTGAGGAGCTATGGGAAAGGGTGCTCTGGCCCTTCCACTGGCTTAAGGAACAAGAGCCTCATTTTCTTGACAATGCTAGCAAGGGAAGATCACCCTGGCCAGAGTGCATTTAATTGCCCACTTATAGTTCACCACACACCTTGTTCTGACTTTGAAAAACGGATCTCCTCAATTTTCCCTCCACTCCCTTTCCTTTGTGTGTCCTGCTCGTTTAATTCTTAGGTCTGACTGCTGTTTTTGAACTAAGATATTTTCTGGAATGCTAGCCATGTGGCTATGTAGTTCTGTTTCTAAACATGATCATGAAAAATAGTCAAGATTCATTCAAGACACTTAAGTAGTGATATTTCCTGGACTTGTACTGTTGTACACATACCAATACATGTTAAAGGGTGTGTGCGCGCATTTATTTTGATTTTGCCCATATAGATTCTAGTGTTTGGGAGTGAAGAAAGTACTGCCCATTCCCGTTGTGACCAGCTAACCCTCCTACCTTCATTCTGTTCCCCAAGGGAGGTGTGGCCAGAAGGTGACATTTTTGGATCACCCACCCTGGATTCAGAGGAAGAGACTGAGCTGCTGAGACGCATCTTTTCTGCCCACCTCACTCGTGAGTATCCAGTCTCCATGGGAGGAATAGAAAAGGAGCAGGGCGTACCTGAACCCACAGCACAGCCAAGTGCTGAAGTCAGCTTGTTTTCTGTTTACCACTCTCGGACAGTTGCCCTTGATGCTTTTCTATTTAAATAATTGTTTTGAGGATTTTCCAAATGTGACATATGGTCATTGTAAAATATTTTAATTGTTTTGGACATCAGTTTGAAACATTAAGACTAAGAGAGCATTTCAATCCAGTAATCCAAACAATAAACATTTTAAAATAATTTAAGAAGATTAATAACTATTTAAATTCAAACCCCTCTCCCTCCTGCTCATGAAAATTTTAAAAATCTGTAAAGACTTAGCTAAAGGGAAAAAGGGAGGGGAATCAAATGTAGGCAAACAAAATAGAAAGGGGCAGAATTCCAAGTTCCTTTCCTAGAGATATAAAAAAGAACATCTTCTTCCTAACTGACTGAGAGCAAAGAGAGGAAATGGGATATAGCAGACTTCTGTCCTCACATCGCCCTGTTCAGCTTTAATATCTGTCTCTTTTTCAAAGGTGATTGTTTAGGATTATAGGAATGGGGGGATCTTGGAAGTCAGTTGAGAAAGGTGCAGTGGCTAAAGAATTAAGGAAGCATAATTGAGTGGACTTTCTTAGCTATTAATGCTGCCCACACCCTCAAACTACCCAGGCCCATCTAGTGCAAGCTAAGTCCTGTGATTAATGAAATGCAGTATCTCAAGAGTTAGAAAAAACCTTCCAGGCCAGCCTCTGCCAGGCCAGGAGATGCTCTGCTGCAGCACTGCTGAGAGGCAGCCATCCAGCCCCTATCTAAAAGCCTCTAATGGAAGTGGAATCCTCTTCTGCTGTTCACTGGCTCATACCATCAGCAAGTTCTTCTTACTATTTAATCCCTTGTCTTGTAATTTGAACCCAGCAGTCTGGGTTCTGCTTCCTGGAGCAGCAGAACACAAAATTGCTCCACCTACGTGAAAGTCCTTCTAATATTTGAAGAAGGCTTTCATCCTGCATTTGTAATTGTCTCATGATGGCCACTTCACAACTGGCAATTGTTACCTTGGGTTGGGAGAGCGTCACATCGGTCATGTTGAAATGGGGAGAGGAAGGAACCTGCTATTGGATGTGAGCTGGCTTTGGCATGCTGACCCTGTGCTTAGTCACTTTGTGTTTCTGAGCCTATATTTAAAGTGCTGGTTTTGATCTTTTTAAACCTGCTCACAGCTTGGGTTCAAAACCTGCCACTGCCGGCTGGACCCTGTTTTGCATACTTCCACTGTGTAAACTCAGAATATGTTGTGAAACCCTTTTGTTCCCAGTCTGTTGACTGGTGCTTTTTGTTTTGGTGTTCAGTTAGTGCATGGATGTAGAACCTCTAGTCTGCATCCAATTTGCAAAGGCTTCCTCCACGGGCCAGGAGCTTGGCTTTCAAGTCTTAACCCTTTGAAGAATCCCCTCCTGGAGGAATCCTCAGTGTCATCTCCATATCTCTGAGTGGAGATAACAACAGGTGCATAAGTGAAGGAGGATTCAGATGGTGCCGGGGTGGTGGGGGGATGAAAGCTCTTCCCAGACCCTGCCAAGTCCCTTGTACCATGTGCATTCATCCTGTGGGGCTGGTACATGTTGTCTGAAGCCAGGGACTTGGATGGGGCTGGTCATTTACTGGAACACTGGCACCTTAATTCCTTTTTGGCATCAAGGACCAATTCACAACTCTAGCATTCCTTGGCTTTTTTCCTGGCTGATCTGGCAGTTCTACTCTTGGAATAATGGCACACCACTACCCATTACCAAGTAGTATATGGCATATATGGAGAGCCCTGGCTACTGGGTGGTACAGAAATGAAATAAATAAATGAATAAATTTATAAATGAATGAATGGTGCCCTCTTTTGCTCAAGCAAGACTCAAGTGTAGCTGAATGGGATGGGAAACTGTCTTCTTTGAATGTCATACACCTCTTCCAATATATGTAGGTCAAACAGCACCAGAGCCAGATGAACCTGAGGAGGCAGCTGAGGAAGAAGAGGTTGCTGAGGAAGAATTGGCATCAGTACAAACATCAGAAAGAGAGTTCAACTTTCTGGACTACGCAAAGCAGTAAGCCAGCTTTGAGGGTGCATGGAACAGCCAAAAGGTGTTTCTGTCCTCTCATCTCCTGGGTGCACAGGGTGTTCTAAAAGTCACAGGGTTGTCTTTCTGCTGATATCCTCAGCCCAGGTACTCTGTGATGCCCTTTTTTTCCTGTCCCTCATAAGGGGTAGAAATGTGTTTTAAAAAACAAATACTTCAAAGAGAGAAATCTTCTTGTTTTTAGAAGCTGAAAGCTTTGCTCATTAGCACAGTCTGTCTTGACCCACAATAGTGTGCTTTGCTCTTATCCTTAAACAAGTCCCATGTGTATTCCTGGGGATGCAGGTTTGCCAGAGCTAACGTGGTCAAGGCCTACCTTCTGCTCTTCAAGAGCTATGCTCAGAACAGCAGCCACACCAACCACTGTGTAGTCAAGATGCTGCACCGCATTGCCTATGACCTCAAGATGGAGGCCTTGCTCTTCCAGCTTTCTGCCTTCTGCCTCTTCAACAGACTCCTCAGTGACCCTGCTGCCGGTGCGTACAAGGTGAGGGCCCTGGAAAGGGAGAGGTTTGCCAAGAGCTTGGATGGTGCGGCTGTGTTTGACTGCAGGTGTTTGGGCAGTGGTTCCAATGCGGGGTGCTGCATGCTTCCAAAAAGTTACTTTGGTTAAAGGGTGGTCACTATACAGTGACGGCGAATCTGCTTTCTGTGTATAAAGTCCTATGTTCATTGCCTAGCAAATAAGTAACAAAAAGTTATTCATTACAATAAGTAATAGATAGGATTTATTTATTACTCGCTTAATGCCATTCCTAAGTCAAACAATAGAAATACAATAAAAATATTAAAGGGCAATGAAAGCAAAGGCCACAGAGAAAGCATATCCGCTACAGGAAGCAACAGCTGCTTGACAGACAAATGTTTCCCAGGTGTATTTACCAGCCTGCAAACCTCCATGCTTCACAGGGCAAGGAATTTCACACTATTCATACAGCCACTACTACAAGGGCTCCATTTCTCTTCAGCATCTGTTGTGCTTTTACCTTGCTGAGTGTAACACTTAACACTTTTGTGAACTACTCAGACTTCAAAAGAAGAAAGGCTTCATACAGGGAAGATGACATATTCTGCAAAAGGGAAACTCAAGACACAGGGAGAATTATCTGCCTACACAACTTGTCTGCCTAGCAAAGCCTTACTATAATCTTATTTGATATTATCTCCTGAGAATCAGGAGGACTGTTGAAAGAAATATTTCTTCTGCCTGAAAATTGCTGAAAATAGTGTGCAGAATCAAGCTGCAAAAGAATTCATTTAAAATTTTGCTTTTCTCATCACAGAATACTAAATCTGGGTAGTGGTGGGAGCACCTTTGGATTTTGTCATGAAATATTCCCAAAGCAACAACATGTCTTTTCTTTGCCAACAACCTTAGGAGCTGGTGACCTTTGCCAAATACATTGTGGGCAAGTTTTTTGCACTCACATCCACCAACAAGAAGGCTTACATGGAGCTGTTGTTCTGGAAGAGCACTGCTGTGGTACGGGAGATGACTGAAGGATACACCTTGATGAGGGAAGAGGGAAGGTGAGTGCCTCAGGCCTTGGGCAGCAATTAGTGTCATGGTGGACTACCTCCAGAAATGAGGGAGTGGCTGTCCAAGGCCCTGACTCACACCTTCACAAATTGGCTAGTCCCTCTACTCCCCTGTTCTAGTCTTAGATTGGCAGCAGAGCTAGTGCACACTTCCAGGGCCTCCTTCCGTTTGAGGTTGCCACCTCACACCCTGGACACCGAACATTGCTCTCTGAAATCTCGATCTGAGGTAGGAGAAATAGCAACTCGGTCTCCTTCTCCCCACTTCCCCTGCTATCCAGACTTCTGCATACTTTACTCCATTTACCTTTGGTGAGCAGAATGCCAGATGTATGTAAACTTTCAAAGCCAGATTCATTAGAGAAACAATAGTTTATATTCCTGTGTGAAAAATATACTGGATAATATTAAGAGTGAGAAAAATCAGCTTTATAAAAAACCATACTAATAGAGTATTGTCTCTTGATGTAAAGTTTAAGGATTTAAACTTAAATCAAAATACAAGTAGGTATATCACAGAATATCTAACAGCTTTTGTTTCACACTATTCATTGTATATTTCTAAAATCCACAAAATACTTCCATCTCTCTACAGAACTTCCCAGTTTTGGAGGGTGGGTTATACTTAAAAAGCCCTTTTCAGTGCAGTGTCTCTTGTCTCAAACAGTTCTGCTACTTGCAAGGCCTCCCAATGGACTGAGGAAGAGGAAGAAGAGCTGCGGGAACTCTATTACAAGTACAAGGAAGTGGAAGGTACTGAATCACATTTGCTGGGAGACCTAACTAGAGAGATGGTATAGGAAGAGGGTAGAGCTAAGAGCTATGGTTCAGCTGAAAGTTCTCAAAATATAACTTTTAGGTCAAATAGGAGGACTCATGATGAAAGAAGGGATTGAAACTGCCTTCCTTTTTTTACTTTTCAGAGGGAGTGGTTTGGGGTGAATTTCAAGAGCAGGTAGCACAAAATTTACCTGCATTCTCCAAGCTTTTGGGCCACTGGTTGCCATTTTAAAATCAGGAAGGTGATGTGTCATCTCTGGCTCTGTGAGAGGGAAATGGTCTTCTTCACGTAGAGTTATGCCAGAGTTTGGCAGCCAAGACTTTCAGATTCTGTGGTCAGTTCTGGGATGGAGGAACCGAGAACTGTGCAGTCTTATATAATCATTGACTGGTCACCTCAGTCAATGATCTTCAGTTGGTAGGCTGAGACTTGCATTTGGATCACACCCTGACCTAAGGTGCAGTGATATCTCCATCACTAAGTTCTTACTTGGTTGGTTTCATGTACAAGGTGGGGACCCAAAAAACCCCAGAAATTATCTTCTGGAGGGTAGGCCCCTTGTAGTACAGGCTTTCCCTGCTAGGTGAATGTTCTAGGAACTGCATCAGTGTACCCAACTAGGTGGTTGTGAGAGACTGAGTTTGGCTTTAGTGAGGGGGGTTTTTTTGTTTGTTTCTGAGACTCTTTCAACACGTTTGCCTATTTCGTGAAGGCTGATTTACACAAACCACATGTGGCAGTGAAATTTTGTTCAACTGAGTGTTCAGCAGTTTTTGACCAAAAATGGCATGACCCTTGTGCCCCATCCTCCCTCTTCACAAGCCCCGTGTGACTTCTCTTGTTTTCCTGGATGAAAAAGTCCTCAAAGGGAAATGTTTTGCTGATGTGGAAGAGGTAAAACAAAAAACGGCAGAAGCACTAAAAGGCAACAAAATCGGCGAGTTCAAAATCTGTTTTGAGCAGTGGAAAAAAAAGTCTTGATTATTGCATCAAATTGGAAAGTACTTTGAAAGTGACTGAAGGTTGAACATGTAAAAATAAATGCATGGTTTATTCCTGGGGGTTTTTGGGTCTCCCCTCATATATTTCTAAAGTGGAGGAAAGAGAAAGGGAGGAAAACTTGAGGGAAAACAGTAACCGAATATGGAGCAGGGTAGTTTATCTTTTTGTTTTAGTAGTTGTATAGCTGCTGTTCTTGCATTTTAACATTGGCATAACAAGCTGTACCTGCAAAAACTGGTGCAGCTTGTCCAGCCAATGCAAACTGTTTCTTTGTATGCAGTTCTCAGAAAAATAGGTGTATTGGCCTCTTACACATGTGGTCATCCTAAAGAGAGAAGGATTAAAATGGGCATATATGAGTGGTAGTTGTTTTATAAAATCCTTCTCATATTGTATTTTGAGGTTAGGTAATAGATCAGATGAGGTTGAAGATTTCTAGTTAATGGAAGACTACCAGTTAAGATTTTACTAATGTGGTTGTTTTTAGTGCTACAAACATGTATGTAGATGGGTAGGCTAGTAAAGTCTGGAGGCTAGTTCTTCAGTGGAGAACTCCTGCTCTTCTCTTCCACCACTGCTGCCTCCTGCTTCTTGTTTTTCTCCTCCTCCCAGCTTAGTCATCATACCCCTCTTTTCTTTTCCTATATCAGGTGAAGACATCCTGAACAACATCCTGGCACACCTGAGCACACCCAGCCGGACACGTAAGCAGGTGGCCAAGCAGCTGGTGCGCTTGGGCCTAGCAAGGAGTGTGCGAGACTTCCCCCAGGAGCGGTAGGTCGTCCTTCTCCCTGAAGAGCAGTGGGTGGCAGTGAAGGACGATTGAGGCTGATAGACTGCATAGGGCCACTAAAATGATCAAGGGGCTGGAGCACCTCCTCTGCGAGGAGTGGCTACAACTGGGACTGCTTAGCTTAGAACAAAGGCAAGTAAGGGGAGACATGAGGGAGGTTTACCGAATTATGTCTGGTGTGGGGAAAGTATAGGAAGGAGACATAATAATCCTAGAATCTTATGCCATCCCATGAAGCTGATTGGTGGGAAGTTTCGGACAAATAAACGGAAGTACTTCTTTACACAACATACAGTAAAATTATGGAATGTGTTGCCATGGATGTGTTGCCATTCTGCAATATGCATGGCAGAATGTATCTGCCATGCATATTGGCAGATAATGGCTGCCAATCTGGACGGCTTTAAAAAGGAATTAAGGAGGAGTCCATCAGTGGCTACTAGCCTACTGGCTGTATGTTACCTCCTTTAGCAGAGGTGGCATGATTGTGTGCACCAGTTGCTGAGGAGCTTGGACAGGAGGAGGTCTTGTGCCCATCCAGTTTGAGGGATCCTGTGCGCATCTTTTTCTGCGCCATGTTCATGGATTGCTAGACGGACCTTTGGCCTAATCCAGTATGGCTTTTCTTTTGATCCTTATGCATAAGAACGTTCCCCTTTGGAGAGAGTGTGTGGCATGTCCCTTCTCCTCTTGTGTATTTATCCAATTCCTCATAACTTTTATTATACATGAAGAATTTTAATTCCCTTAATGCAAGAGTACTTCAAAGGTAAATTTTAGTAACGATTCAAAGGTATACCAATGATTTGAAAGCTGTGAAGTTCCTGGCCACAGTTCCCATGGCTCTGTGGGTTGCACTGTAAGCAGACACAGGCAGGTCACATGTTGTGCACCATGAATGTAGAGGAGTGCACTTTAAATTCAGGTTAAATTGAAATTTTAGCTGCTCTTTGTAAAAGGGCATATAAACCTATCTAGATCTGCATATGAACCTATCTAGATCTGTGTACCAAGCTAGTAGCAATGCAAGATTTTGTGTTGAAAAGGCACTAAGTGACATGTACAAAGTACAGTTATAAAACATGCATGCATATGTGCCTATTTTATATATTTCTGTTACACTTGTGCTAAACAGAAAGGGCAATTCAGGGTGCAGAAGCATTTCCTCCATAGCATAGGAAATCTTCATGCCCCTGCCTCCCCCAGCTTTTATTAGGTCACTAGGTGTTTCATGTCTATTAACATAAGGGCTAAGAACTTAATTATATTAATCAAAATTGAATATAATTCAAGGTACTAATTCTTTGTCTGGTATCTGTGTAAGCATTTATGCATGGAAATTACAGAATTTTTGCAAGACTGACTCCCTATGATTCTTTTCAGACATCCCTTTCTCCTTGGGTGCATCTTACTATTCATTCATTCATTCAATTTTATATACTGCTTGATAGCCTAAGATCTCTAAGTGGTTTGTAGAAAAACACACTGAATACCAGATTTCCCTGCTTGCAGATGAATCCTAAGATATGGGAGGAGAAAGGCAAGCATCATGATTGTTAGTACAGTATGATGTCTTTTACAGGAAGGGAACACGGATTGTGCTGTGGACACAGGATCAGGAGTCAGAGCTTCAGCGGCTCTTTGAGGAATTCCGTGACACAGATGGTGAGACCAGAAGTGGGAGAATGGGAGACTTGAGTCTGCAACTGGAGATCTGTCCTTGTAGTTAGTTAGCTGGGACTGGAGGCAATGAAGAAATGGGGACTAATGTCCAGAGCAGCCTTCCTCAGTCCGGTGGCCCTCTGGATGTGTTGGATGCTCAGTCCCATCATTCCCAGCCACAGACATGCTGGCTGAGGATTATGGAAATTGCAGTCTGGCTCAGCTGGAGGGACACAAAGTTGAGGAAAGCTGGCTTAGAGCCACACTTGAAAACTCGTTTTGTGGCAAGTTCCTTCCTATGCAGAGATTCTTTTCTATAACAATACCTCTTCCTGTAAGTACGATCGCGAACCCATCTCATGCTGCCTTTGCTCTCGTTTTCTTCTGCAGATATCTTGGCCAATGTGATGAGGCACATCACAGCCAAGCGCTCCAAGGCCCGCATTATCGACAAGCTGCTCAGCATGGGGCTGGTGTCTGACCGCAAGGAGCTCTACAAGAAGCGCAAGCGCAGGCCTGGCTCTCTTGGCGCGGTATGGTACCCACCCTCTCTTCCCTGTGTGTCTGTGCACTGCAAGCATATGCTCGTGTTTTGACGACGGTTACGCGTGTGCCTACATCTGCACTTGCACTGGAACCATGACGGTCTGACAAATGCTGGGCTAGTTGGGTCTCTTCATGTTTCAGGTGGAATTGGGAGAGAGGAAGGGAGGGAAGGAGGAAGCGGTTGATGACCCCCATTCCAGCAAGCACATTTCCATCACGTGACTATCCCACAGCTTTTTCCTTTCCATTCAGCTCCACCCTCTCCTAAAGATCCCCGCTCTCTGTAGGCACTACAGGGCTTCTTTTTAGTTTTAACGGACACTTCCCATGCCTTGCAGAACATATTGCAACAAAATTCTATAGCTGAACTTTTCTGAACAGCATTTAGAGTGTGGATGGATATTCTATATCACTGCAGCAAATAGGTGAAGGAGGTGGACACAGACTTGATGGCTGCTTTCCACCCTCCTTCCATCCTCTGAGATCTTGGTGTCACAGAGATTAGGCAATTGAGATTGTCTCTGATTAGGCAAAAGTGTGTTTGGGTGTGTAGGACTTGCTAAGATTTTTGGGACTGTGACATCCGTGAAGAGGTTGTGTGGACTGCTGAGGAAGGCGGATCTTGTGGGTCTTGCGTTTGTGTCTCTTGCTGCTCTGTACTGTTGCAAACTTTCTTTCAGAACAAAGAGGTGTTACCCAAGGACTTTGGAGTCCCTGACCTGGATGAGAATGATGACGAGGAAGAGGAGGAGGAGGAGGAAGATTTGGATAGCGATGAAGAAGAGGAACCATCTCGGGGGGATAGTGACAGTGACATGGGCAACAGGCCTGTGAATGAGCGGACTAGCAGGAAATGGGGGGCTGCATCAGATAGAGATGCCCAGGAGCTTGTGCAGAGTCTGAGGCAGGAAGGTGAGTGGGTTTTAGCATCCCTGGGAGTGGGATATGGAACTGCAGTGCATCTCAGTAAAGCTCAGCAGCACTTCTGTTGGTCTTAGAGAGGGGTCACTGCATAGTGAAAGAGCACCTGCTGTGCATGCTGCCAGTCAGTGTTGACAGTAGTAGCGTAGATGAACAAATGATCTGACGATATAAAACAGCCTCCTGGACTCCTAGGATAATTCATCATGTTGCTTTGGGGCAATAGCTTTTAAACTGCCTGATGTCAAGAAACACGTCGTCTTCAACAAATCTGTTCAAAAACCCTCAAATGTTTGCTGCAGAATCTTCCAGGGCAGTGCTGGGTGTGCTCACCGTAGTTTGTACAGGTGCTGGCCAGATCCCTTTGGCATTGCTGTCAAGCTGCTAGATTGATTGATTGATTGATTGATTTATAGTTTTTTGTATGCCGTCCCCTTGCTATATGGCCTTGGGATGGCTCACACAAATAAATAAATATAATACAAATACAGTTAAAACCTGGAAACACCCTGGCTGCACAATTAAAACCTATAAATATTAAACGTTGTTAAAATATTGTTTGAATAAACAGGTCTTAGCCTGGCGCCAAAAAACAAATAACGACGGCGCCAGGCGGACCTCTCTGGGGAGCGCATTCCACAGATGGGGCGCCACCACAGAGAAAGCCCTCCTGCGGGTACTTTGCTTCCTGATGTCTCTCACAAAGGGCTCCCGAAGGAGGGCCTCTGCTGCCGATCTCAAGGGGTGGGAGGGCAAATATGGAAGCAGGCATTCCTTTAGGTATCCAGGTCCCAAGCCGTTAAAGGCTTTATTGGTGATTACCAACACCTTGAATTGAGCCCGGACTTCGATGGGGAGCCAGTGAAGCTGGTAGAGGACTGGGATTATGTGAGAGTAACGCCCAGTCCCCGTCAGCAACCTGGCTGCTCTATTTTGCACCATCTGAAGTATCTGGACTGTCTTTAAGGGCAGCCCCACATAGAGCGCGTTACAGAAATCCAACCGGGAAGTAGCCAATGCATGCATCACTGTCACGAGGCAGTCGTCCTCCAGGTAGGGACGCAGCTGATGGATCAGCCGAAGCTGAAGGAAGGCGCTCCTCACCACCGCCGTCACCTGAGCTTCCAAAAACAGCTCCGGGTCGAGGAGCACTCCCAGGCTGCGGACCCTGTCCTTTAGAGGATCTTGCCTGTACCTGAGAACACAGCCAACCTTTCCCTGTGGTCATGCATGGCAATGGGAGATCCACTGTGGCCAGTAGGCATTCAAGCAGTTGTGGGATTGCTTACAGCTTTTAGGACAAAAGTCCTAGGAAGGCAACTTGCAAGGAACCTAAAAATAATAAGATCACAATAAAATTCGGCATGGTCCTTACTCGGGACAGCAGGTGGAAGGTGACTGAGGGCAGAGAGAGATCGGCTGGAGCAGAAGCCTGTATGTGGGGTCATGCTCACCTACCTCCCCCTCTTTCTTGCATCCTTTCCCACAACTCTCTTGATGGTTGCTGGCCATGAGGGTGAAGTTGGAGGGACAGACCAAAAGGGGAAGGTTCTGGGGGTCTTCTTCACCTGCCTCTGTCCCTCTCCCTGGAACACCCGCTAAGCAATTTGACTCAGTTGCAGGGAATCGGCATTGGGTCTGTCTTTGGACATGACCCACTGAAGTACTGCAGTGCAGCTTTCCCCAGACGTCTCTGTTTACCCACACTTGGTAGAATGGACTTTACCAGTTTGACTGCAAGTGGGAAGTATCTTTCTAATTCATCTCTGCATAAAAGATTCCTTGTAAATAGAAAACTCCCACATTTCTAGCCCAGCCCTTTACTTGCTTTGCTGATTTTTTATTTGCAGAGAGATTTTAATATGGGAGGAAGCATCTAAAGATGCAACCTTCTCCATCCCCATTCTGAGCCAGGCAGTTGATTCTATTGCCTTTTCTTTCTTTGTGTGTAGGCCAGACTTCCCTTGATACAGTAAGGGTGGGCATGGGGGTTTCTCCAAGGTCACTGAGAGAAGGGACTTGCTCACCTGCCTGCTCACTTTCATCTCCACAGGTTTGTCTGGCCCCCTGTCATGGCTCCAGAGCTGCTTGAACCGAACAGCTGCTGACCGGGAAGAGGATGGTAAGTACAGCAGGAACTGGAACTCGTGCAGCAGTACTGAGGGTGAAGAACTGTGGCACTGCGGCTGTATGGTTAGCTCTGCCACACTCCTGAAAAGGAATAGGGGTGGGGGCACTCCATATTGAGCTCTAGTTTGCCTCCATAAGCAAAAGCTGCCCTTCTAGCAGGACCATGGAGACAAGAATAGTATCCTGCTCTTTCTAGTAAGACTGGCACATAGATTGACAGATTCCTCTTTCTCCAGGATCTGCCCAGCCTGTACCTCTGGTGCCACTCTCTGAAGAGAACGAGGATGCCATGGAGCACAAGGATTTCCAGAAGCTTCTACGGAAAATGAGGCTGCGAGCCCCAGCCAGCGAGCAGGTACCTTTCTTTTGCTAGTGAGGAAAAGGGAGATAATAGAGTTCGCGTAGCAGGGTTTTATTATTCTGTGTATACAAAAACATTTTTGTTTGGATATATTTTAGAAGTGTATTTTGAATGGGAAGAGTGACTTTAAAACTACCCAAGAGTTTCAGCTAATCTGAATCTTGGCTGTTGGGGGCGTGGGGGGGGGCAGGGTGCTGTGTAAACCAGGGGTGGGTCACTTGTCTCTCTCCCAGGTGTTTTAATCTGTAACTCCCATCATCCCTCCCTACTGACTGCTGGCCAAGGCCGATAGAAGTTGCAGGCCAAAAGATTTGGAGGGCCACAAGTTGCCCCCCCCCCCCAATTTAATGCCTGCTTAGAATCACTGCTGGAAAGTGCAGCTTGTCTTTATGCTCAGCGTTCCAGCCTTGGTTTCACTGAGCCCGGGTTTCCCAGAGTGTTGTGTGTGGTGTTTAGGTCAAAGAGATCTAGAAGAACTGGAAATGTGGCCAAGATTTAATTGTCAGCAGAGATAAAAATTGAGAACTTCCAGGACATTTCACTACAGTCCCACCCCAAATCCCAGGGTTAACATTATTAGCACACCATTTGTGAACCTGTTCCTTGCATGAACAACAGGGGTTCAAAAGTTTCCGCACTTTTTAAAACTCTTATTTATTAAGAATTGCACAAACCAATTCCATCACTTTTCTACATAGTTACCTTCCCTTGTGATGCATTTTCCCTAGTGTTGCACCAGCCTTTTAATGCCATCAGCAAAAATATATAAAATATATTTATAAAATAAAAAAGTGCGGAAACTTTTTGAAGACCCCCTTGTACATTTTTGGAGATGTTGAGGCCAAGTGTTCAACATAGGTTGATGTAACTATGTAGAATCAAATGCTGCAATAAGTGGGAGAAGTATATAATTTCAAGACGAATTAGCAAACATTCCTGATTTCCAAAGAAAGACAGAGGTTCCTTACTGTTGCCAGGCAGAACTACATTTTGCAGAGGAATGTTTAATTAATTTATTTAATGTTGGTTCAGGGTCTCCCACAACAGAAGCCTTCTGCTAGGGAACTTTCTGTTTATAGCTTGCATAAACATAAAACTTGGCTGTTAGAATGTTATTTTGTTTCTAAAGTTCAGTTATTAAAAGTCCGGCTTATATCCTCTTATTTGCCCTTTCTTATTTGAGTTTTGTCCAGTGTTTTCACCCAGTGATTTACAACTGGAGAAACAGATAGTTAGTAGATTATTGTAACAGGCCGAACTTGGATGTTGTCACTCTGGCTGAGAAGGATGGCTTGTCTGGGGCAATCATTCTCAAGAACTGCTGGCTGCCTCCCAGATTATTCTTTGGAATCAGAATGTGAAACAACTTCCAGTGATTGTGGAGGATGGGCTAGGGTGAAAGAGGCAGTGGTGATTATCTCAAGACCAGGCGCTTGGCTGAGCCAGGCAGTTTCTGGGAACAACCAAGTGGGAGAGATCTCTGAGGATAAGAAATTCTCAGACACAGACCAGTCCCCCATGGTGGGGCATCAGTAGAGGCGGGAGGGTCAACTGAATGAGTGTGTGTGGAGAGGAGGCGTGCTCACCTTCAGAAAGCCCCTCCCAAGGGGATGGGGCCCAGGCATGCTCGTAAGGAGAGTTCCTGGAGGAGAATACTAGATTGGGTTCAACAAACCCCTCGGTGCCTGCTCAAAGATCTGATCTGAGTGATTTATACTTGGCAGCAATAAACAAAGTTTTGCAAGGAAAATAGTCTGTGGCTTTTGACTGCCCAAAGGAGGAAACTTGGGGTAAACAAATTAGCATCTCACTGCAGTAACAAGCTTTTAAGTGGAGATCAGAGACAGGAGCAGATGACGTGCTCTTCTGGCAAGGGGCTAGCAGCAGTTGAGTGATGGACTGATTTGCCTACCTTTGTACTTCCTACAGGAATCTTTCTGGCGCATCCCGGCCAAACTCAGCCCAGAGCAGCTACGACACATGGCTGCTTCCATTGCCCCAGAGGTCATGGAGGGAGAAAGCAAAGATAAACCAACTGGTGAGCTATACGCAAGGGCATAGATGGCAGGAAGGGGGGGAAAAGATGAGTGGTAGTAACTGAAACCCTGACTGCTAATACTAGCCTCTCCCATTAAATTACACAAATAAGAATAATCATTAAAGACCTGCAGGCAAAGATTAAATCAAGTATGTATTTATATCAAGTCACTGCTAAGTCCTGCCTCTTGGTCTTTCTCACTATCTCTGTGCCTTACCAGCTGCCAGGCAGGCCTTCTGCCTGTCTCACTGAATTCTTGTCCCTTTTTTCTGAGATGTTTCTGCAGCCTCTCTTTCTTGTCCTTCCTTGTCCTTCTTCCTCTTATTTCCCTTCCTGGCCTCCTCCAAATATCCTTAGGTGCTAGCTTCCTGGAATATTTGTGAACAAACAGTGACATCTCAGCAGTGGTGGCTGGAACAGGGCTCACAGAGAAATGGCAGACACTTCTAGCACATTTTGCATGCACTCACACCCATATGTCCACCTATACGTAAAGCATATGTCTTAACTGATTTAGAGTCCCTTAGGGTTGTGCTTGTGCTTTCAGACAAGACCGAAAGCTACAACCAGATTCAACAAACAAAACTCAAAGCGGGTTCAGTCTCAAACGCAGACCCTGTCCCAAGGAAGAGAATCCCGTTTCTCTTTCCCTGCTCCCCTGGCTCCCGTGTAGTGGACTGTGATGCACGTGGGCCACTGTAAAATGTGCCTGTTTTGGGCTCCAGGGCCTTACCTCTCAGTGAAAAGGGCATGATGTATTTGTTTTTGCATCGAGGTGCCAAAATGTCTCAAGTAAGTGGTAGACACAAAAATAAATGCTAATGTCCAAGCTCAGCTCTTGCAAGTATTGCAAGTCTACCCCAAAATAAACAGCTAATTAATCAGTTACCCAGCTTAATGTCCCAGTTCCTGCTAGCACCACTGCACCTCCTTAAACAAGTGGGCCTTTCATCAAACTGCAGCTTTGTCCTTAGTTTTGTTTCATGATAGACATGTGACTTTGCAGAACTGATTATACTTGTCTCACTGTAAGTTATGCTTTTCTGTCCAGCAGAAAGGAGTGTTCTACTAAATGCTTTCCATTCTTGTTTGAACAGCAGAACCATGAAGTACCTGGGCCGCATTATGTCCCGCTCCTGTAATCAGAGTAGTGTATAGTCCAGATCTGCCCAACTTGCAATCTCTCAAGGAAGGAAGCCTACTAGCCGTGTATCCAGGGCCACTGGGACTTGATATGCCTGCCACTTGGTTGCTTGCCTGGGACTGGGGAGGACATCAGCCCCCTGGGGTTGTCAAGGCCTGCCTGGAGGAGGATTCTTCAAATGAAGAAAGCCAGCACAGTGGGCCCCAGCCACGATCAGATGCAGGGGCTGAGGCTGCAGCTGGCCGCCTTCCTTTGGGGGCACAGCCAGAACCCTCTTGGGAATCCATGGAACGCCTGTGCCGGCTCTCTTCCTTTGAAGAATTCTCCTCCACGCAGGGCATGACAGGCATGTACCAAACATAAACGCCACGCTCCGTTCCGCTGAGAGAGTCCTGCGTTGAACAGGCCTGGAATATACATGGCTCTGCCTACAGGTGCTAGACATATGGAGGACTGGCTCTCCGATCAGAGGTTGAAATTGATGTATATAACCTAAATGGAGAGTCAAGTATCTTGAGGTCCAGACGGGCTTGGGGTTGCTCTGCTTCTCCTGATTGTAGCCCAGAGTCCCTGGCCACTGGCCTGCTGTAGATAATTAAAGTCGTCATGGGCGTACATCTGCATAGTTGATCAATTGGCTTTTCTCTGGCTGTCCATGAGGTTTCCCGCCCCTCCTCATTTTCATTTTATTTCTTTAAAAAATAATAAAACCTGGATGCAGAGATGCTGCAAAGTGAAGTGTTGCCTTCTAGCATCCTCTTCAGCTGGGTTCAAAAGAGTGGTTTTGTGTCTTGGAGCTGAAATACCTCCCTTGCCTTGTACTTAGGTCCTTTGGCAAGTTATTTTTCTTTTAGTTTTACCAGTTAAACATCCTGGAAATGGGTGTTTTTTGACTTTCCATGCCTGTCAGGTAACCAGTTTATGAACAGGCAGCTCCACTCTTACGGCAGCCATTTTGTGAAACTCCACAGCATGGTCTCAAAATTCCAAATATGCCCACCAACTTTAAAAGTTATGGAACCTCTGTATAGATACTGTTATGCCTGTGATGTTCAGTCTCTTGAGATTTTTTATTTATTTATTTATTTATTTATTTTTCTATTTATATCCTGCCTTTTTCCTGCAAAGGGCTCAAGGCAGCTTACATCTCCTTCTCCATCTTATCCCCACAACAACAACCCTGTGAGGTAGGTTGGGCTGAGAGTCTGTGACTGGCCCAAAGTCACCCAGCTGGCTCCATGGCTGAGCGGGGACTAGAACCCAGATAGTCTGAGTCCCAGTCCCATGCTCTTAACCACTACACCACACTGGCTCTATTTTCTCTGTGACCATAAGAAAAAGATGCCTGTGTTCTGTGGATGAGTTTGGGAAGACCTGCTCTGGAATGTGCCTTGGCTGGAAGTCTCTGTACTTAAAATAATGGAAAATTTGAGCTGAATTACTTTGTCTAGGAACCATCTTGCCTCACTATCTTACTATCCTTCAGTTGACACACTGTCTCTCTTTCTGGTTCCAGAGGAAGACCGCCTTGATACAGGGGAGCCACAGTGCCTGATACTAGAAAAGTGAGAATTTGGGATTATGCATGTGAAAATGAGGCAGGGGCTGGGAAGGAGACTATCTGCATACTGAGTACAGAAAGCTGACTTACAGATGGAGGAGAATCTAGCAGTGATAGCTAGAACAGGGGTGCTGCAGCTCTTTCACTGCAAGAGCTGACTGTTCTTCCGGGGAAGTTTTCAAGGTTTGCATTCCTGGCAGAGGCACAATTCCAACATATTTTCATGTTTACTGCCACAACGAAGGCTTAGGAGAGGTGTTCCAAGCTTTTAAAATGGGTGGAAAGCCATACAAAGCTGGGAAACCACCAAATGATCTGTGGTTGAGAGAAAGGGGGTGGGGCCATTTAGGGAAAACTGTAGAGCAAAGCTGGCTCCTGGGCCTGAGGTTTCACCTGTGGGTTAGAAGAGATCTGTGTTTCAGACTCACAGTTGCTTTCTGTCATACACATCCCCATCTTCCCTCTGGAGCACATTTTTTCCCCCTGTTGCTTTTTTTGCTCCTTTCTAGAGGAACTTGGAACGGAGCTGCCCTGTCCTTCAAGCTCAGGAGTGTATGTGCAATTTGTTGAGACAAAAAGATATTAGCCTTGGACAGCCCTACACTTCCAGCTGTAAATTTGAAATCTGCCATATTCTGAGTAGGAACACAACACTGATAGAAGGAGAAACTTTTTCTCTTTTCCTTCCTTAGCTGTGGTGCTGTGCACATAGGTACGCTCAGTGGAGGACCAGCCAACACCACTCGCATCCTGTTGGTTTTGAACTTGAAGGACAGGGCTTATCAATTCCAAGAGAGAAGAGAATTAAAATTCACCCTAAAACAGGGAGGGGGATATATTTTGTAAAAAGCAAACATAGATTTAAAACACACCTTTGTTCAGTGCAAATTTTTGTACTCTTTTTAGGAATGTTAATTTTTATACCAAAATTAGCACACGAGGTTTAGGTTTGATGGGAAATAGTTCAACTTCTGGGACTGGGGGATGAAAACAAGCCTAATGGTTATAAAACCTGTCTGAGCTGGTAGGTCAGGTGCTGCAACTCCTGATTTGGATTCTTGGCTCCCAGTGCCGTTTTTTCCTGCAGTTTTGGTGCTTGTGGGTGACAGGCATACCTCTTACTCTGTTTTCCAGAGAAGAACCCATCCAGCACTCTCAAGGACCGAAGCGGAGCCACTTGATTAATGACATGGAGGAGGAAAGTCATAGCCAAGGTATGCCTCCTGCCCCTAGCAGAGCTTCTTCTATCCCATCTCTCCCTCAGCAGTCATCCCCGCTGCTTTTGCATAACTCACGATATCTGCTAAGCACACCTCCTGAGCCTGTAGGACAGCCATTTCTGACCTCCATGCCAGGGACGGCCCTCTTCTGCCTTAGAGGAATTACTAGCATGCAATGGGAAATAAATTTAAGTAATTGAAAGGCTTCTGTGAGCCCAGAGTCCCCCAGGCACAGGAAACCTTCTGCTTTGTCTCTGTGTAGTTGACTAGACTGGGCTCATCCCAGTCAGCATCTGTGTGGAGGGCTCAGACCGTTCTGCCATGTCTCTACATCAGGTGCGATCTGACTTTTCCCCCTGAGCTTTTCCATACTTATATTTTAAATAAGTAAAAACAACAACAAAGAAGTAACAGTAGTAACAGCAGCAGCAATAATGGGCTAATAGAGGAAAACTAATGGAGGTAGTCATAATAAATAATAAAAGGATAAAGGGGAGTAATATAAGTAGCAAGAGTGGGAGGGAAGAAGTAGCAATAGTAATAATAATAATAGGGTAATAGAGTACAAGTAGTTAGCAGTCACTGTGTAAAAGCTGGGCAGTGAAGAAAGCTGACAAGAATAAAATTGATGTGTTCAAAATATGTTGCTGGAGGAAGGAGAGCTTAGCGATTACCCTGGACCAACAGAAAGACAAACAAGTGGGTCAGATCAAGCCAGAGCTTTCCCTGGAAGCAAAAATTATGAAACTGGGTCTGTTAGACTTTGGGCATATAATGAAAAGGAAAAAGTCTTTGGAAAAGACTGTTGTACTTAAAGGAAGTTGAAGGCAGAAGAAGAGGAAGACCAAGTATAAGATGGACTGATTCCACCAAGGAAGCCACAGCCTTGAACTTGGAAGAGCTGAGCAAGGCTGTCAAGGAGAGGACATTTTGGAGGGCTTTCATTCAGAGAGTTTCCATGAGTCAGAGATGACTCGATGGCAAGTAACAGAGACATTGTAGAGATGCAGTGGAGAGGTAATGGTAAACTGCAAAAACAAGCAGCCAGATATAAGATGCAGGAAAGGCAAGTGGCTGGGTACAGAAGAAGGAAAAATGGGGCATGGGATGTAAAGCAGGGATTGGATCATTCAGTAACTCCCAGTACAGAGAGACTCACCTCTCTGAAGAAGGCCCGTTGCCTCTCTGCTTGAGTCACTGCTCTGACCTCCTGCTCTGACAGTCAGGATGCGTGCCAAGAATCATACAAAAACTTAGATGTGAGTTCCATTGACAGTCATAATTCTTACCCCTGTGTATCTGAAATGTAAACCTTCTTAGGGGAATAGAGATGCAAGAGTCAAGTGTGCCTCCAGTTTTAATTTAGGAAAAATTATGCTTCAACTTAACAGTAGTTTGGGAAACATTCCTAAGTAGATTCTAGTAAGATTTAAAAGGAAAAACTGGTTACCTTTTATATAGGAATGAACAACAGCTTATCTAGCTCTACATACATTTCCTTTGCTCTTCTATCTGCCCTGCCGTTCCCCAGTGTCCTGAATATTCTGTTTTGTTTTTAAAAAACTTTCTAATCTTTCAGAATCCATATTATGTAATACCATTTATTAGGCCTGCTCAGGATCACCAGAAACATGGGTGGGAGTGGTGCAGAGACTGATGGGATATTTATTTATTTATTTATTTATTAAAACATTTTTATGCCGCCCCATTCGCCAAAGCCTCGGGGCGGCTTACAACAATAAATAAAACCACATAACAGATATTGCAGTCAGGATGTTTGCATGATCAGAGTCTAAATTATATGAAGGAGGAGAGGTTGAAGGTGCTCAAATTGGGCTTTGCCAGGTGATGCAATAGTTTCAGGTTTCACCTGAAAGTACCCTCAGGACCTCTAGGTACAAAAAAGAAGCAGGCAGTGATAAATCCTGCATTTCAGAAAATAACACAACCCTGCTGTTACTCTGAACTATCTTCATCCTCGATGAAGCACACAAGCGTCAATGGAAGACAGAAACAGAGACACGTAGATGCTCTTTGTATTAAGAGCACTTGATATGAACCATGTGAAAGCGACTGCACGGATGTCCAGTGCCACTCTCCCTCCTTTTCTGCTCTGACACATACTGTATTTGGCTTTGGCACTGCAGGCTCCAGCGATGAGGAAGGGCCACGTCCCTCCAGCAAGAGGAAATGCCTGCGAATTGAGGAGGAAGAGGAGGAAGATTGATGGAGTGGAGCTCCCTTCCTACTGGGTCAGCAAGGCCAGTTAAGCCCACCACCCACCCTGGGGCTTTGAACTGTCACCTCAGGCTGTGGTATCTTGGATAAGACCATATTGGAAATGACTGCAATCCCCATCTCCCCAGTGCATGGCACTTTTGCTTTTTGCAGGGGAATATACAGGATAAACTCCTGGAGGTGAAAATGGAGTGTGAGATGTCATACAAAAAGAAGAATAGGAGAAGAGGGAGCAGGCTTGTATCCATGCTGCTCTACTTCAAGAGACACTAGATACTAAATCTCTTTCAAGAAGAATTCTTCCTTTAAACTGTTCCATGTTTGTAGATGGCTATTGGTAACCTACTCCCTAAGTGGCATTGTTCACATATAACAGTGGCAGATTGTGAGTTAATTAACAATTAGAGTTAGTAAGGTGAACTGTGAGTTGTTTAACCCACAGTTTGCTTATAGCGCCCCACTTTAACCCGGATCAGCCCAGCTAGGGTTCAAAAAGGCTGTGGAATACACGCAACAGGCACCATGGAAAATTTTCCCCTATTACAATGACAGCCCCATTGTCAGCCTAGAGCCAAAGAAAGCTATTCTTGCAGATTTGGGTTGCCCAGCAGAAATGGAGCAGGCTGGCTCTTCCTGTCCTTGGCTTTTGGATCTGCCTCGCACCCTCCCCCTGGGCCTGCCCTTGTCCCCTTGTTTAGTCACATGTTGCCTTAAAATATTGGCACACTTCCTTTTTTATACATGCTCTTTCCCTTGCATCTTGTTTTCCCGCTTACATTCTTTCCCCCAAAATGGGTGCTGGAGCTGGAAATGTACCTTCCCATTTAATAGCATGCGTTGAGAGTTAAATGGGGGCAAGTGGAGGACAGAATTCAGAAGTTGCAGCTACACAGAGAAGAGGAAGTCCAGGGCTGCTTTCTGCACTGAAGGCTTCCCAAAACAAAATTTCTCCCTTGCCACAGGCTGCAGTTCTTTCGGTCTTGCTCCCTTTGTCAGCTGTTTCATTGCTTGGGCTGTTCCTGTTGGAGGCAACATCAGAGAAATTGATACAGATTGTCTTCTACCTGACTGTTCAGGAGCTACCCCAGTGCCAGCCGCGTCATGTGCAACCTTGACCGTGTGTATATCTGTGTGTTGAACTTTGATATTAGCAAACAACACCTGGTGAATTCCAAAAAAATAAAATGCCTTTAAAGTTTATCTGCCTTTTCCCATGTCATTACTGAAAACAGCAAAAGATTCTGGGAAGGGATGGTTGATCATGTGGACCTTCTTTGTTTTCAATAGAAGCAGGAGAAGGTGGATGACAGGTTGTATTTTGGAGGATTTCATATATTTTGTATAAATGCTCTTCCTTTCTAAAAGGGTGAATAGTTATCTCTATGTTTCCTATGCGTGTGTGTGTGGAGGGGAACCTATTTGTAAGCCTCACCCACCCAGACCCACCCCTGTTTTTGTCCTGTAAGCTGAACAATACATTTCCATATATTCCAGTAAGATTCCCCAGGCAACTCTTGCTGGCATTTGCACTACTGGGGTCTGGGCAATACTGGAGCTTGGACAAGCCCTAGACGCATTGGATCAAGATTATTCCTGTACCATTTCCACTTTTCTGGAGTGCAGTGTGCCTCCTGAACACTTCTCCCCATTATATTGGAGGACTCTATGATGCTTTAACCACGACAAGAAAGGCTGCCATTCTTTAAAACATTTGGGACATTTGACAATGGTGCAATAATTACAGACAGTCATTTGTCCATAATGGACCTGCATTCCAGAGCTAATGTTAGGTGCTGTGAATGTGGATATGGAAGTCAGTTAGGCAAACGGGAGCAACCAACATGCAGCAACTCTTGCCCCTTTCTCCTGGATCCCGATCCCACCCCTCGCTTATCACCTCCTCATTGTTTTCGAACCATTGTCTGATTGCAAAGGAGATAACCTGCTATTTTTAAGAATCCCTAGTCACGTTAGCTGCTAAATCAAATAGGAACAGGCTTTAGTTGGAGTGATGACTTTGGAGCCCTTGCAAAATGACAGGAAGTTTGCCGATGATGAGGAGTGTTGCAATTGCAATTGCAATGAGGAGGGTGTGCTGATAAGATTGACCAGCTGGGATATAAATACCAAAGCAACTACTTGAAACAGCTCCTCATCCTACCTCCTCATTGCTCATCTTCTCCACCCAGGTAAGTTATCCCCCCCGCCGCTCCCTATGGCAGAGCAGTGAGTGGGAGCAGACAGGCAGGCTGGTGGTTGGAGATGGGGGCAAAGGTTTGGGAGCACTTGTTTTGGGGAACAAGCTTAAGGGCCTCAATTGAAAAGGGGGCAGGATGGAGCAGTGTGTCAAGCGGATTGGAAAACTCCCTGTATTTCCACAATGGAGAAATTGTCATGTGTTAAAAACACTTTAGCAAACAATTTGAATGTGCAGGCAATCATCAGACCTTGGCGGTACTGGTTCCTAGCAAGGCTTTTATGCTGCTGTTGCCCAGAGAATTTACCAAACCTTACATGATGACATCATTCTGTTCTTTGCCCATCTTCCTCCTTTGGAAAAATCTGTTAAGGAAGAAAAGACAGGATTGCTGTGCAATGCCTTCTGGCCAAGGAGCTCTCCATATTACGAGCCCACTCATAATAAAAGATCTTGTGTGTTCTCTTGTTCCCTCGTATTTAACCTTACCTTGCTAGAATCTGCTTGCTGTTATGCCAAGACTCCCAAGCCTATCAGCATGATTCTCAGGGTGCTTTCAGGACTTCTAAGGCTAATTCTAAAAGCCTTGCCTGAAAGCTCTTGTGAGTTCCTCATATAAGCAAATGTAAGCATTGAAAATTATCTCGGCTATCTTACTACTAGTTTCTTCAGTGCCATTTTGTATTTATTTTGGTGGAAAAGCAGGGCATAAATTTAAAAACAAGCATAGGCACCAGAAAGCGAGTTCTGCCTTAACGTAAAGGTCTGGTTTTGGTGGAGCTTCCAGTTTGCAATCATTTGTTTAAACAGTTCAGATGGCTCCATGATGGAACTGTGACCTTCCTTGCATGCAATCTCTGGAATGCAGCTTTGCTCGCGTAATGCTGCGTCCTTCATTTCACCCAAGCACCATCACTTCTGGTCCTGGATCTCTATGTCTCTGTATACATACTCATACGCATGTATTTGTGCATGATGCACACATGGAGTAATGAGAGGGTGACAGCATTGTCTGTAGATGGTAAACTGGGGTCAGCATGACAGAATGCATTGTGGTGAGCAGAGTGAGAGGGAAAAAGTGATGGGAGAATTGGTGAAGAGGCAGAGTGGGTGGAATGAAAAAGGGTAAGGGATGAAAAAATGAGTAAGTTTCCGTTGGCAATGAAAACTGGGTTCAGTTGGGTTTAGTGTGTTGGGGACCTCACTGTTGTATGCCGCGGTTTTACGAATGAGACCAGAGACTAGTTGGAATTTTCGAGGGGGGATTTATTTACCTGCAGGGACCACACTCATTGGAGTGCGGTCTCGAGCAGAAGAATGCAGCTTTTTTATACTCTCTTACAACTATGCAGGTGCTTGAATAACAGCGAACAATAGGGGAACCCCACTGAGCCACATTTGCACATTTTTCATGCTGAAGCAAGCAAGCGAGGGTACAAGGGCGTGACATCTGCGGTTATGCTTGAGCGTAGCCTGCTCTGTTTTCATCCTTGCGTAGCGTGCACATTTGTTGGGGGTTCTTGTTCTTACGCGCACAGAACACCCTGATCATGCTTTTTACCCGTGACGAGCCATGCCCTGGCTGCATGTTTTGATTATGAGGGGGGGTTACAACACTCACCTCTGTCATATTCTGACTTTTGGACAGGTTAGTTGTCCAGTGCAACTAACCACCCTTCCCGAGGCAGATGGTGGTACTCAGGACAGTTTCTCAAATAGCCAAGTATAGTTGCCTATGCCTGGCATAGACCACCCTTTCCTAATCTGGAGCTGGCAAGTGTTTTGGCCTCCAACTCTCACTGGCTCCAGCCAGCATGGCCAATGGTCAGTGAAGACTGGATTTGTAGTCCAAAAGACGTGGAGACCACCAGAATGGGGAAGGTGGGTAGGGGCAACATTTAGCTGAATGAACTAGGGGCCTGGTTCCAAATAAGGCAGCATCCTGTGCTCCCAAATCAACAATGTGCTCAGTGTTTTTTGCTAGAAAGAAAAACCTTCCACCACTGCCCCAGGGCTTCAGTTCATGGCAGAAGTAGTTGCTCCTTCCCTTTCAGAAGAAACAGCAAAAAGAGTTGGAGGATACCAAACAGGATCCTGTAACTAGAAAAATATAGACCTGTATATTTACGAATGTGTAATCAGGTGTGTATAGGTATGTATCAGGTATATTAGGTATGGTGAAAGAGCCATTCTAAGCCACATCTTTGGAAACCCTTTGAACATGTGGATTCAGCTGCCTGCATGAGGCCACTGTTTAATTTGCGACCTCATATCCAATGCAGGTGAAGAAAGAACACAGGAATGTTGGGCAACATGAAGAGCAAAATTCTGGCTAGTCCGACATTCTGACACTAGAATGGTGCAGCTCCTGGGCAGGGCATGAAGGTCCTGCTGTTGCTCATTTTGTCACCAATATTTGCCATCCAATCTCTGGATGTGTAAGAACTGTTTAGCTATAACGGTGAGTAAGTTTTGGCAGATGTATCCTCTGTAAAGGGTGTCATCCAGTGCGGTTGTCTGTATCCTCTGAACTTAGAAGATTACAGGCCACAGGAGCATGGAGGAAAGGATTGCTCAGAAGAAGAGGAACCAAGGGCACTACCAGAGTTCCTTGTAAGATGGTGGTGCTTTGCTCCTCTGCTTCCTGCAAATGAAACACATGGAAACGGGATGGAAAAAACTGGAAGAGCAGATGAGGGGCTTTGAAAGTCTGAATTCCAACATTGATCTTGAAGTGCTGTTCTGAGGTTTGAGATGGGACTTTGACTTTCCCTATGGCTGTCTAGACAGCATATGGTGGATTTAGGATTGTGCCCTAAGTTGTCTAATGAGAATCTTGGATGTTCTGAGTGTGGTGTGTCAGTTCATCTATTACCTAAGGTCGGATGCTCCAGGGCAGGTACAAATGCAGCTGTTTGGAAAAGTCAGGGGTATCGGAAGCTGTCTTATCCCGAGTCAGAACATTGGTTCATTTTACCTAGTGTTGTCATCCCTGACTGGCAGCAATAGTTCTCCAGGGTCTCAGGCAGGATTTTTGCCAGCCTTACCTGAAAGTGCTGGGGATTGAATGAGAGGCCTTCTGCATTCAAAGCAGGTGCTTCACCACTAAGCCATGGTCCCTACCAGTTCTAAACTGGAGCCAGATAGTGATAGTTTCTTCTATTTCTACAGGGCTCAACAAAGTGTTGAAATGCGCCTGCCACCACTTGCAATTGCTGCAACTTTCTTTGTCCTCCTACTGGATCACACACCGGGAGGGCACTTACTGCCTGTGGCTGGTGCAAGAGGAAGTGCTCCTGAAGCCCACCAGTCCACCTCCATCTCCAGCCATGCGCTTCCTACTCTTCTCAGTTCGATATCCTCCAAATCCCTCCAGTTCCAACTACCCTCAAAGGGTGTTTCCTGTGAAGACTTGATGCCTGATGCCTTGGATGATTTCGACAGTTTGCCCCAAGCAGCCCAGATCTTCATTCGAGCTGCACTAGCCCTTGCCTTGCAGAGCTCAGGCTGCAGCCAGCATGCAGAAACGGCTGTCTTGCAGCTCTACAAGGTGGTGGGACAGGAAGATGCAGATGCAATTTTGTTTATGTTGGTAGGGGCCTTTAATGCCATTCATTCTCCGGATGAGAGCAAGAAGAGTGCTGCCTTAGATTTCAACCTGGACCAGCTAGCATCTCCACAAGCTTGGCACTGCCATGGTTTGATGCAGGTTGATGGAGCTCTCCTGTATGGACAAGTGCATAGGACTTACAGCAGCAGGTTTGCAGCAGCTGCTGCTTGTCACCGTCTGGGAGACTCCTGTGCTGGAGTAGCTTCCAATGGTACCAGTTTCTTCCAAGTGGTGGGCCGGGCTGGAAGCTACTTCCTACCACATGATGGTGCCCATTCCTGGCTGCATAAGTGCCACAGACTGGCAAGAGTCCAGCGGTCCACTGGCTGCTTTAGCGCAAAGGAACAAAATGTACATTCAGTCTTAGAGTGGGTCCCTGGGGTCAGCACTTACTACAACTTTGGGACCAGCATCTACTTTGCAATCCAGGGCTGCACACACCTAGCAAAAGAACGTGCTATAGAGGGGGCCATGGACCTGGGCTATGATGCACTGATCTCTTTGACAGGCGGGGTGGGTGGCATAGGTACAATTGGGGGTTTTGCATTAAAGCCATTATACAAAATTGGTGTGCGTAATTTAGCAAGCTACTTTAGCCAGGGAGAAGACTCATATTCTGTTCCCTCCAACTACTCAGGTCCAGTTGTCATCATCTAGTTGCATCATGACACTGTCAACCCCAGATGAAGCCTCCTTTGTGATAATCATGGATGTTTGCAAGCTATCCAAATGCTGCGCTTAAGAAACCCAAATGATCATACTCCAATTTATGTGGTCAAAAATTGGGTATCTATTTCCATATGTGGTAGGACTACAAAAATGGGAAATTTTGGATAATGGTTTTTAAGGAAATCAGTAAGATATAGAATTCAAATATTGAAGATATTTGAATAATGCCTGAAATGGCATTATTGTCAATATTTTATGAAAAGAAAAGCATTGGAATATCAAAGAATAAATAACAAATTTTGTAACTGCAGCAAAATAATAGCAAAGAATTGGAAGAAGAAATGGGATTTCCAATAAGCAAATGGTATAAAGAAATCTGGAATATAGCTGTTAACAATAAATTAACATGTGGAATTAGGGTGAAAAAAGACTGACAAATAAGAATGAGTTGAATGATACCTGGGTGTTGTTTATTGAACACATGTAATTTTTTTTATTTTTACATTTATAAGCTGCCAAACAGTTCAAGTCAGCTCCCTAGGTGTGTACGGAAATAAAATTGTAACCAACAGTTTAAGCTATCATTAAAAATAACAAATCAATAACAATGCTAACATACGGAAACCAGGTGAAAGGTAATAAAAGGGAATTAATAAAGGGAAAGATATCAAACCTTTGTGTGACTTAATGCAATTTTGAATAGAAAGGAGTGTGTGTTCTATTTGTAGACTTTTAAAAAATTGTTGTAGCTATTGGGTTTTTTTGGTATTTGTATTATTAATAAAAACAGGACTGCATTCTCGTGAGTGTAGGTATATTCTAGGGATTTCAGGGTGATTGTAATGTAGAGGTTTCTTTATTCAGCTATGACAGCTATGCTATCCTGTTAGTGTTCTTGTAAATGCTTATTCTGGATAATATTAAGCTCTAATGATCACAAACTGTACTTTTTGCAAGTTACTGCCATCCCATGCCAGTTTTACAAGTTTTCCCTTGTAAAGTTAGGCATCGGCCATGACATGAGGTTAACATTTTCATGCATCAATGAAATGGACCATAGCCCACCAAAGTGTTCCATAATCAATTTGCTGGTTTTTAAAGTACAGTGATACTTCTGTGTTGGTGGTGGAGTTGCTGCTTCAACAGTCTAAAATGGCAACCCCTCCCAACGTTAGTAATGTAGGCCAGGGATCTCCAAGCTTTCTACATTTTTAAAGAGAGGGATATTTACTTTGGTTGTTTTTTAATTTACATACATGTCTTTGTATGAAATGCATACAACCTTCTAGCAATTATATACAGGCTTCATCTAAACAAGGCAAATATTTAAAAAAGTATCAATTTGAAGCTGGCAGCCTTTTGCCAACCCTATCTTATATCGAAAGCATTGTAAGGACCTCAGTCCATCGCAGAGCAATCTCATACACGTCTACTCAGATGTAATTCCATTGTATGTTCACAGTGAAGTCTATCTTGGTAAGTCGGTATACAGGATTGCAGAATCAACAAGCTAATTTCCTTCATATCTCCTCCAGTGTAATACTTTTCGATGGACTGACTCAGTATATATTTAGGGTGTGCCCTTCGACTAATACTTCGGCCACCTAATGAGAAGGACTTACTGGAAAAGACCCTGATGGTGGGAACGATGGAAGGCAAAAGGGGAAGGGGACGGCAGAGGATGAGGTGGCTGGATGGAGTCGCTGGCGCGGTGGGCGTGGGGCTGGGTGGGCTCCGGCAAACAGCGCAGGCCAGGAGAGCCTGGCGGGCTGCGGTCCAAGGCGTTGCGAAGAGCCGAGCACGACTCGGCGACTGAAGACTGAAGAACAGCTTCCACTATAACTGAATCACATTCGGCGGCCTTCCAGGACAAACCACTCCTCATACTGCAGAAGACCTTTCTCCTTTTCCAAGGGCAGCCAAAGAGCTCAGCATCGCCCGGGAAAAAGTCAACCACCTTTCCTTTCGTTTACATAACCCAATCTAAGCCCCGCCCCGCCGCTGACATAATTCCTGGGAAATCGAAAACTTAGACCGTGAGGCCCGGCTCTTCCACTAATGGGCTTCTCCTCCCGCCGGACCTGGGCGCGGCTCAGGGCGTTCTTCCAATCAGGCGAAGGGTGGGCGGAGCAACCTTTGCACCTCGCACAGCTCCGGAGGGCGGTCATCCAATATCGGGAACTGAAGTCTGTGCAATAGCGTTTGTAGCGAGCAAGAGCGGCTCGGCTTGCAGGTAGCTGTTTTGCACCGGGAGCGGGGGAAATGCAAAGAGGTCGGGCTAGGGCAACGGAAAGGTAGGGAGCAGCGCTGGGCTGGGCTTGGTTTGGTGTTGGACGATGGACGATGGACGAGAAGGGGTGGGCATGCTTTGCGGTGGGTGGGGAGGGGCTGCGGTCTGCTTCGGTGCGAGTGGGTCACTTGGGAGCAAACTCCATACTTGAAAGGGATGCACCTTGATTTTTTAAACAAACTACAATCCCACGGTCCACTAATCGTATTCCAGGTGCAAAACAGCGGTTCAGGTAGGTGGTCGTAATTAAGAGCCAGGGTACTGCTGAGCATCTGTTCGGCTTAATAATTGGCGATCGGTTCCAGAACCAAGTTTAGGAAACCCTTTCAAGTAAAAAGCCCTTTCCGATTTCCCCTGCATACACGCCTAAATGTTCTTTTTCAGCAACCTAATTTTGGGGAGCGGGGAAAAGTTTTAAGTTGTTGATGATGATAGACAGTTGGGAACCCCTTGCTGATCTACTGCATATCATGCTCATCTACTAAATGGGCAGAAGAGATTTACGAGTTGATCCCGGAGAACTGCCCATCTCTTGTGAATTTAACAAGTCCCAAAGAGTAACAAATGGAAGGTGGTGGCAGGAGGGGGCCGATTTGTGGGAGAAAGAAAGGTTCAAGAGTCAGTGCGAGTAAGTCAATTTGCCTTTTTAGACAGAATAAATTCTATTGATTGCTGGCTGGGACTTAAATTTTTTTCTGCATAACCATATAGTAGGATTGTTCCTCGAAGAAAGTTCAGGGAAGGCAAGCATTCTAGTCTTTTCCTTCTTTCAACAATCCCACATCATACATTGTTCAGGAAACCACTTCCTGCCAATGGATGATGTGGAGACTGAAATTTTCAGCATAAATTTTGAGTATATGACCCCAGTCTTGCTCATTTCTTGAGCTTAATTTCCACTTTGTTCTGTGTAAAGCAAGTCAAGGTTTTTTGGATGACTACCTTATTTCTATTTAAGCACTGGGTTACTTCCTTTTTTAATGTTTGTCCCATTACAGAGGAGTGGAGTTAAGCAGAAGACAGCATAGATGTGAACACACAGAGGGTTACATAACATTTCCAGACAGTAAAGAAAGCCTATTCAGAAAATTCTGTTCTACTTCTAGGCTTCTTTCTTGCTTTGAAAGTTACTTGGTGGGAAACTACTCAGTACAATCCTAAAATTTCTCCAGGGAATGTTGTAAAGACAGTTTCTTACCTAAATAGACAATTTATCCATAGCTGGTAGTATCTTCATTAGACCCCTCTAATGCCATGTACGTGGATCTTCTTTTGAAGTCTACTTGGAAACTTGATTGGTTCAAAATCTATCACTAACGCTGCTTGCTGATTGGCACAGATTCATTGGAATATATCACGCCAGTCTAAAAAACCAATAACAATATATGAAGAGGTGTCGCTTTGGTTTATGATGTCAGTAACTGGAGTAGCATAGCTAGGCATACTGGGGGTGGGGAGAAACCTATGGCATTCATTATACCTTTATAGTAGGGGTGGGGAACATGTGGTTCTCCAAATGTGGTTGGATTCAAACTTTCATCAGCCACTGCCAACCTGATTTGCAGGCAAGAATGATGAGAGTTCTTCCCTGAGGTCAAACCAAGAGGATAATATTCTGACCAATAAAGACTGAACTGAACTCTCATGTAGAAGAGACTGTTAGTTTGCTGTCTATTCAGTTTTGTCACAAAATTCAGATTCAGACTCTACACAAAGAGCCTTTCCTTTCATGCTGTTCTGCCAAATAATCTCTGGGAGGCTCTGTGCTGTAGTAAAGTAATATAATTGCACAAGTTTCAGCAACAATACTTCATTTTCCTTGCTCTTAACATTACATGGCCTGCACAGGATGGTGCTCTTAAGAAGCAAAACTGGAGAATCACTAAATTGTTTGAAGAACCATAAGCAATCATGAACAAATGGCTCATGTAGAAAATTTGCCTGAGAGTGAAATTTGCCTGAAATTTCTCTCCCTTGAGAGTTCCTCTTCAACATATGTGTCCCTCACTATTAGTCTTGTTGGATGGAGCTGCTGGGAAATGTAGTTGAAAACATCTAGAGGGCACCTGGTTGGGGAAGCTGCTTTTAGGTATAATGCTTTCTTCTGAGTTTAATCCCTCGTCCATAAAAGCAATATTTGAGCTGTGCCTTATTTACCATTCATTTTTTCCTGTCTTGTCTTTACTCCCCTCACCTGTAAACCTTATGATAGATTTAGACCAGTAGCAGATGGGGAGAAGAATGGGTTGCAGGATTTCTTTACACAGCAATAAGCAGACTATAAACAGGGATCCCTGTGAATACTGTGTGCTAATGTATCAAACAGCAGAGTATTTGTGTAGCATGGCTTAAACCAAGAAGGAATGTTGGGTGGAGTCCCACTCAGGTCCAACTTTGCACAACAGCCCTGCTTTGACGAGCATTTCATTTCTACCTGTGACAGCAGCCTGGTTGAACAAATTCAATTAATTAGCTAGGAATACAAAATGTTCAGTCTTGTTCTGAATGAGACAGTGATCCAAAAAGACACTGCTGCAACCTGCCATGATTACAACTGGAAGGACTTGCCTCTGTATCCAGAGGACACGTGGATAGTGGTTTAATATTAAGATCACTTTTCCTTCCACTCCAATTATTCTGAACTGCTGTTCAGTCAGAGTTCTGCCAACAGCCTAATAGTTCTCAGCTCTTGCTGCCTGTAGTACAGCCTTCCTCAAAGTGATGATCTCCAGATGTGTTGGACTGCATGGCTGTGTTGACTGGGGATTCTGGAAATTGTAGTCTAGCATATCCAGAGGGCACCAGTGGGGGATGCTTGCTCTTAGGGTAACCTAGGGAGAAATAGAGGTTCATTCTGGCCAAATGGTTATGATTTAATCAGATACATTTAAAGCAACTAGAAAGGGCTGTATTGTGGCAGTCCATGGTACATGTTTGGAAATGGAACCAAGGTTCCATTTAGATGCCAGGAAGCACTACCTGACAGTTAGGACCCCAAAGGTGTGGAATGGGCTTTCACGGGAGGTCATTGAGGCCCCATCGGTGAGGGTGTTCCAAGATAGGCTGGACATGCACATGGTGGGCATGTCGTGAGCAGAGCCGGGGGTCAGACTAGATGGCCTGGGAGGCCCCTTCTGACTCACTCTGTTTCTATGTTTCTATTTCATTCGATGCAGAGTGCTGCAGGTAGGCTGTTCAGGAGCTTTAACTCTTCTAAACAAGTTACTTCGATATTAAAAGGTCTTTGCTGGCTTGTGGTTTGTTTCTGGCAACAACTCAAAGTGCTTTTTTGTCACTTAAGGAACAGTCCTGTATACACTGGCCTGGGAATAAACTTCATGGACAGCAGTGCAATTTATTTCTAAGTAGTCAAGTGCAGGATTGGGAAATCACTAGCTGAAAAGCATATGGCGGATCATCTGTTCTATCATCCCTGATTATTGGCTATACTGACTTGAACTGATACAGGCTGGAGTCCATCCAGCAATGGAGGGTAAGGAATGGAAAACTGACCCTCCATCAGATGTCTAAGACAACATTCCTTGAGATCTGTTGGAATGCTGTCTTCCAAGCAAATGTGTAAACTTGTATGGAGAGTCGTCTAGGTAAGGCAGGTAGTTGTCAGAAAGTTTTCTATAGCTGCATGGAAATGTGATGCAGAAATGTCCTTTGAATAATCACATTGTAGCCTGCCAAAGCAATATAACATTGAATAACAATGATTATTTTTAACATTTAGTTTTAAGCTTAGAAGCTCCTTGATCATTAGACTTTTTATTGGATATTGTTTAGATTGGGACAGATCTAATAGTTTTACCTCCAAGTTCAAACTATTTTTCCAGAATTTATATAATTTGTTTTACATATTTTTTAAAAATGCATGTGGTTGCGACTCATGGTTGCACGATACAATGCTGCCACTCTTCTAGGGCAACGTTTTAGGACACAGAATTATCAATTCAAGTTGCAAAACCCAGATTCAGGCTAGATATCATAAAAAGTTTCCTTACTGTCAGAGCAATATGACAGTGGAACCAGCTGCCTAGAGAGGTGGTGGGCTCTCTCTTAGAGACATTCAAAAAGAAACTGGACAGCCATCTGAGTGGGATGCTATAAATTAAAAGAACAATCCTGTGCATGTTTAGAAAGAAAGACTTCGTACAACTTACAGCATTCCCCAGCTAGCCATGTTATCTCTTGCATGAAAAGTGAAGTCTTAAGGCCTACAGGAGAGAATAAGATTTTTTAAATGTTTTAATTCAAAATTTTGTAATATATATAATAATACTGCAAACTGTCCAAAACTACGAGTCTGCCCGGAAACTCCATTAATTTGAATAAGCCTTACTTCTAAGGAAGGATGTATTGGTCTCCAGCCTTAATAATAGAATTGAATGGGCTTGGGGGTCAAGAGTCAGACTAGCTGATCGAATGTTGGGACTTTTCCATTCTGGTACCTCCCAGGTCACATGCATTATAGAACTTCAACTGGCAGGCTTCATCCTGTTCTTTGGGGAAAAGGATTTAGATAGTATTGAAGTTTCTGTTGTTAGATTCTGGCTCTGATGTTGGTTACATGCCTGGATCCAATGTCTTCTGTTTTTTTCCCTTATACTTCTTTTGATTTGGCTATTTCTGCCACAATTAGGTCTTATGTATTTTAGCTGTTTTGAGTTTTCTTTGGCCAAGATAAGACACGATAGAAAAATATAAAAGAGATAATAACTGAACATCATGGCACAGAAAATGTGTAAGAAGTTTAGGCCATGCTGCTCTCTAACTTACGTATCTCATAGTTTGTAGGTGAGAGTTAGCTTTTTCTCTTTAGTGTAAGTGTGTATGACCCCAGTTTGGATCAGGACCACCATGTGCTGGGAAGGAAGGATTAACCCTTCAAGCAGTCACCATTTGCTTCCTGAAATCTAACCAGCAAACCCCCCCTCCCCCCCCAGCCGCACACACACTGCTTATGTTAATAAAGAGAAGAACATCTGAATGGATGATAATTGGGACTTTTTTGTTAATTTTCCTGTGGGATGGAGTGAGGGAGGACATTTCAGGAAGCAAATAGTATTGCAGGCTAAGTTGAAGCATTTTCTCTCAGTTCCATTCTGAATCGGGATCATACTTGCTTCGGCCAGAGCAAAGAAAAAGCTAACCGTCTGCTATGGAGGAGGTTCTTGAGGGAGGAACCACAATGCTCTGCCACCCATGGTGGACAATTCCTCCCTCTCCCATTCCTTTACTGCATGAGTTCTTGGGCTAATGTAGTTTCTACCTCTTTTCAGGGATGTATCAGGGAATAAGATGACCGATAATTCTGCAAGTCCTCAACCGCTCAGACATACCCCAAATTGTCCCATTATTATTTTTTACCCTGTCACGAGTGGAGATGCAGCAACAGCAGTAGAAAACTCTGCCACTGTCCGGAGAGGACCTCCATGGGCAGAAAGGGCAATTGGCATAGCCAAAGCCTGTCCCAGCAGTCTTCGCAGGGAGCAAACAGTGGCTCCCTTAACTAGTTGAGCCAAAATGAACGTTTCTTAGCCATCGCTAATAGGGGCTTGAGCTCTTCCACACCACAGAGACTCTCCTCTCAGTGGAACAAAATCTCTCAGAGTGCCTTTCAGTCCTGTGCCTGTGGTGAATTGTTGTTGAGACATGGGCTTTATGGTCTCTGAAACGCCATTAACCCACAGGCCTGCCCTTTTTGGTGTGACTTGCTCTGCTCACCCCGTTGCCCGGCATTTTTTGTCTCAGGTTTTTACACTTCTTTTCATAAAAAGAAGTAAGATACAGATAAAGGAAGGAAACATATATATGTTTGAAAAAGAGTACCAGGGGATATCACACAAATATAGCATATAATTTCAGCATGTGATAAATTCACAAAAAAGAAAAAAAATCTGCATCTTCTACCCACAGTTAAATCAGCCAGTTCTTAAGACTTACAAACTGATTAATCTAGTTTATCATACTAATGGTAAATAATATCAGAGATTTAGTGTTGAAATAATTCTCACTGATAATATTTTTACAAATGTTCTTTTCTGGAATATTAGTTAAATTGTTTATGATAAGCTTTCCATTTTCTGTTAAAAGTCTTTGGTGGGTCTTCTATTTATTTAATTAGTTAGTTTTGTAGTTAATGCATAACCAGTTTATTTTTCCAGTCTTCAATAGTTGGGCAATCTTCTACTTTCCACTTTGATGCAGCTGTAACTCTTACTGCTGTTATCATATATTTAAATAACTCTGGCATGCTCTTTGGAAAAGTCTGTGGTTTAATACTCAATAATGTACTCTTTTCATTCATAGGGTAACAATTTTAAGAATTTTTAAGAATTTTTTAAGAATTTTAAGAATTCTGTATTTCCACATATTCCAAAGTCTTATAATTTTATCACATGTGCATCACATGGTAAAAATACTCATCTACTTACTTACATTTCCAACATTTTCTATTTTCTAATTTTTGTCCATTTTCCATATATCTTGGGGTAATATACACGTACCACTGAAAAAACATCTTATACCAATTTTCTCTTAATGCATGACTGGCTGTTAATTCTGTACCCTTAATCCATAGGACTTCCATTGATGGGACTGTACTACTTCTTCAGAACTCTACATCAAACTGATCATACATAGTTTAACTTTTTGAGTTTCAGTATCATATAGGAGCAAATGGTTATAGATTCATCCTAATAATTTGTCTTTTTGATGTTTAATCATCATTTCAAAGTCTGTTGGTTGTCTCAGTTTCACAACCCCCTTTCTTTCCATTCTATAGACAGTTTTTTTTAATTGCATGCTAGCGGAGACCCAGTGGAAACTGAGCTGAACTCAATCACGTTTTCCCAATTTGAGAGTCCTTCCTGTAATTTGCTTTGCACTGTTTATTCATACTGAATCACAGGAACACCAAATTGGCTCTGTGAGATCAAAACTTAAAGCCACAAAGAAAATCTGACTTTAACCCATAAAAGATACGATGCAATATGATTGTCAAGTTTTCTTGCTGAAATGTATTTAAAAATTATGGATAAGAGCTTTTTCTGTGATGGTTCCTGGCACAGGGTTCCTACAGGCCGCCACACATTAACCAGAATGCAAAGCTGGTGAGCTATTCCCATACAGCCAGCCTTTCTCCTTTAACCCAGGGTCCAATTACCTGGGGCTGCAGGCTGGCCTGGAAAGGTGACAGAGAAGGGTTCTGCTGAGCCTAATGCTAATCCCTCAATAGTTGTAAATCTGAAGCTGCATGGGAATTTAGCTTATTTACCTTCCCCCTTTTTTGAAAGATGTAGTAATAAGGGGTTGGATCCAATGGTATCATTTCCAATTCTATCCCCGGAACCAACAGTGGACAAAAATTCCACACCCTCAGATTTCTGGATAGCTGAGAAACCCTCCAGAACACATTTTTGGGTGTCACAGAGGGCCACAGCAGGAAAGAAGGAGGAAGTCTCAGTTCCTCTCTTGGGGATGATGCCTCAGGCTCCATGGGACCAGAACTGGCCCTCGAGTTTACCAGAAAGCAATGCCCGCCTTCCCCAGACCACTTCCCTTTTGTGCTAGTCATTGAGTGGTTTCCCAGGCTTTGTGCAGCCTTTTCCCCAGTGTGAAAATTTGAAATGCCATTCTTAAGGCTTGGTTACTGGCAGGGAGAGTGTAAAGTTACAAGAGGCTGGTAGGTTTTTATGTTTGGCCCCATCCCTTTTGCCCTCAATTGGGCCTCAGAAATGCATCTCATCTCAAGGGCTTCTCCAAACTGGAATTTGGTCCCTGGGCTGAAAGAGGTTCAGCACTAATTTTGCTAAGGAAATGTTGGATTTAATTCAATGTGCACAAGCATTTGTAAATCTAAATATTTTGAACACTGGTTAAAAAAATCACCCTGGGAACCATGGGTCCTTCTAGTACTATTGAAATAGCTGCATAATTGCATACAAACATGTATTTAAATTAAAGTTTATAGTTGTGCATTTTATTCTCAAATTGTTGAAAGTTCTCTCGACAAAAAAACATATTTTCGGAATAGAGATCCTGCCCCCTTCTCCTTTCTTTTCTTTCTATCTCTTTTTTTGTTTTCCTTTTGTTCTTAACTCTAGTGTAAGTGTGAACAATTCCAATTTGGATCGGACCACCACTTGCTGGGGAGGAAGGATGATTACTGTATATGTTTCATGATCAGAATTTTCCTTCCACCCCTTTTTGCTGTTTTGGTTGGCTCTTACTGTTGTTATAAATAAAATGATATTCTTTTGAAAAGAAATAGAGCTGTGATGCCTGGAAAAAATCAGAAAAAAAGTTCTCTGTTGTAGTTTTAAATTGGAACATCTTTAGTTTATGGAATATTTTATACAAGACAGTGTGTTTATACATTGTTACCTGACCTTATTTCCACAAATGATTTCTAAAAACTATATACAGGACTTCTATAAAGACTTGAGGTGTAAACTTTATGGAAATAATGAAGCCATGTTGAAAAATATTTTAAAATTCCCTCTGTAACATTTCCAGCATACTTTTTCCATTTTTATTAACATTATTGCTCTAATGTATGCTTTGCTGATAGATATTAAGGAATATTCCAAGTCATGCTTGATTTTCCATGTAAATAGAGTCATCATATAATATGAAAGATGTGTAGTCTCAGCAATTCAGTTTTACTCTGCAGAATCCTGTGCTGCTGAACTTGTTCTCATTGGAGGCTGCAGTTGTCAATTAATGTAAAATCTAATCTAAAATCTATATGTGAAAAAGTACCCGGATGTTTCTTTTCTAAAAGTTAAAACTTTGATCTATGGAACTCACTGCCACAGTTTTTAATACATTTCTTTATTAGACTTCACTGGTAAGGAAAGCTGCCTTGGCTGTGAAAAAGTTACCTGCTGCCACCACTATAAATAGGAACATATTAGGAAAGTTCCCATAACTTTCTCCCAAACAGGAACAGATATGGTGTCCTAGTCTTCCTCAGTCTGCACTTTTTCCTGTTCCTTCTGGCTTCTAGGGTGATTCAGGATCTACTTGCTGAAGTTCCCTCTGGTCAGAAAAAGAATGGAACCTAAAATATGTGCTATGCAACTTTTAAAAAATACTGTGTTTACATTAATAAATTATTATTAAATTTAGAAATATAGTGTATTCAAACAATAATTAAAACATTGCTGAGGTCACTTCGTGCAGTTTTTAAATAGAATGTTAATTCCATGAGCAAACCAAATTACATATAACATTAGGAATATCTATTATTATTATTATTATTATTATTATTATTATTATTATTATTATTATTACATTGCATTTATATCCCTCCTTTTTTTATATCGCTAGTTCAGAATGAAGTGGTGTTGTCCATCTTATCTTTTTAGTTGTTTGACTTCCTACAGAAGGGCTCCTTTGCAACTCTGGTTTTTCTTGCTTGTCTCCTTAGGCGGTGTCTACTAGGAAGAGCTCAACAGCAAACCCCATCATGTCCCAATGGCAGCAGATCCAGATGTTGGAGAGAGTTTATCTGGAGCAAGTTCACTACCTCTACTCTGATGAAAACTTGCCCATGGAAGTGCGACAGTATCTAGCCTATTGGATAGAGGAACAGAACTGGTAATGCCACTTTATCAATGCGAAAAAAGGAGACTCCCATTTTCCTTCCCCTGAAACTAGTATTTCCTTCTGTGAATTTTATTCATTATTCCACAGCAGAAATGCACACAGGTTGCTTCCAACTAGCCCTTTTGTCTGAGAAGACCCTTCTTTACTCATTCACTTTTTGCAGGGCATCTAGACAAAGTAATTACATTCCAATTTTGTCGTCCTCCTGTTTTTTCAGACCTGATTGGGATGATTTTATTATCCAGGATTGCACTTGCAACACTACTTACTGCCTCTTTAATTAAATGCTCCCTGCTTGCAGATCCTGCCCATTTTATTGCTGCTTGAATATTAGTTTCTTCTTAATTGTTCCTTGAATTTCCTCAGTACCAGCTTCTTGCAGGGAAGGCTTTAGCTGCTGGTCCTTTTTCTTTGCATATAGTAAAAAAGAGCTATTTTGCTACAGAAAATTAAAAGAAAAAATGAGGGGAAGCCAGTAATTAGAGTTTCTACCCCACTCTGTCCCCATTCCATCTTGCAAAGAACAAAAACTGATATTGAGGTAATTAAGATTACCTCTTTAAAAACCCTTTAGAAAATTGGTTATCACTAATGTAAGAGCCATAGTCAACAGTACTTAAACTTGGTAATAATAACACAAATAAAACAAGCAGCACTTGAAAACAGGAAACTACTTCTCAACATCCCAAAAGACTTAAACCATTAGAAAATGGTCAGCCATGCTTTAACAGTGAGGCAGACTGGCCTCACCGAATGCTGCTGAAAGCCCCACCTTCCGACAGCCCCTGGGGTTAAAAAGGACTTAATCCCTGCCCCTGACAAAGAAACGGCGCTGGACTGGCACACGTTGGCCCAAGACTTGGGGAAAAAGATTCTTTATTGGACTGCAGCACACACATACGCACAAAGGAAAAGTACAAATAACTTCAGCTACTCGAGTAGGGGAAGGGGAAAAAGGATGAAGTATGCAATTCAATATAGTTTCCAGAAGTTTACCCCCTGCCCCAAGGGTCGTTTGACCATCCCAGACTCTAAAACAACAAGGACTGAGCTAAAAACCTATAAATCTGTCTCACTGCACCAACCAGTCTCCTCAGAGTAACCGTCCAATCTCCTGGGCCTCAATGACTGATAGCTGACAAACCTCCATCTCTCTCCAAGGCGAGGCACACCAACCTGGCCATCAGAGGTCTATTTATTTCCTCCCCAAGCCAGCATAACCCTTTGAACCCAAGGGATCATGGAAAGTTCCCAGCCTTTTGCTCTTCCCACGGTCCCAGGCCTGCAAAGTCATCTGTTTTATTGCCTTTATCTCTCTTCCTACCTTCTGGCATTCATCCTGGGGAGAATGATATCTAGCTTTGTGAATTTTCAAGCCTTCACCTCTTCTCTTCCCACATCCCTCGGCGCCAAAGCGTCCCTGTCAGAACCACCCTCAGCGTCCCTTCACTGCTCTTCTCACCAGGCCAGCCAACTCCAACTTTTAATCCCTGCCATTCCTCAAGCCTCAAAAGGCCCTTTCCACTACACATGCTGAATGGCATTACTAAGCTAACAGAGTTTATATTGTGTGTTGTGTGGAGTTGTCTGTTTTAATTCCAATGAATTATGAAAAAGCATCATATGAAGAGGAGGAGAACCATGTGAATTGCTTTGGATTCTTTTCTGGAGGGAAAAGGGCATTTTACATATGTAATGATAAAAATGCTTCTTTATCCCTGAAGGGCTCTAGTTTGGAAGCCAACCAAGCTCACTTGCTTTGGAAATAAAATCAAATATGTTCTCAGAGTTTGCCAAGACAGTCATTGGTGACCCAAAGTCTGGAACCTATATCAGGCAGAGGAACAGGGTGAAATTATTCACAGTTGGTCAAGGAATTCCAGGAGTGTAAGACTAACAGCTGAGACATTGCTCCAGAAGAGTCCTGAGCTAGCCTGCCTTGGGAGGGAGGGAGGGAGGGAGGAAGATGTCCTTTGGTTCCATTGACTGTTGTTGGCTGTCTAGATTTTAAAAGACAAGGACCTTGATGGAAAGTGAATTAAGGACATGAGAACTCTGTTGGAGCAGACCAAAGGCCTGTCTAGTCCAGCATTCTCTTCCTGCAATGGTAAACTAGATATCTCTGAGAAACAAGACATGAGGGAACAACCTACTCAGATTTATATATCCTAAAAGCAGATATAGGGCATCCTGTCTCTTGTACTGGAGGTAATATATAGCTAACATGACCATTCATAGCCTTATCCTGTTTGAATTTGTCTAATCCCCTTTTTTAAGCTGTCCAAGTTGTCAACCATCACGCCATCCTGTGGAAGTGAACTTTAGCTGTTGAGCCATGCAGCGTGTTGCATCCTTTGCACTTCCTTGATTCTCCAGCCCTTCAGCTTCATTGAGATTACTTCATTGAGAGTCTAGTATTATGGGGGTGGGGGGCAATGTCTCTCTATCCACCTCTGAGTATATTGTGTATTTTGGGGGGGGGGTTGTTGTTTTGCTCAGTCCAATGTGATTGCAAGGGATAGCTGAGTTGAAAAACCTAAAGAAGATGAAAATATTCCATTCTGTTCTCCTGTGATTTCTTGACTTTGACTTAATCTGTTCAAAAAGTATAGAATCTGTTGCTGCTGGGTGTCTGAGAACAATCTCTAGCCATGTTTTAGTGGCTGTTCCTCAGTAACACTATCCGCTGAGCCCCATCTCCAAACTCTGCTAGATATTGTTTCTTGATCGTACTTGGGGAGATAAATGTCCAAAGGAACTTAATAGTTGAAGAGGCTCTTATTCCCACAGATATGGCTGGAGAAATTTGTGTAGCCTTAATGGGAGGAAACTCTGCACGCAGAGAGTTGATCTGCAGCTGCTGTCATGGAGCTTCAGAACAGTCCACACTGTGGTGAAGCAAGCAGGTTGGGAATTGGGAAGAGCTTGCTCTTTCTTCCATTCCCTTTCTAACCACCACACAAGCATTCCTTCCATCTGTATAATGGTGCTTTGCCTGCTGCTGTCCACTTCCTTTTTTCTGTGCATCCAAGCTTCACTCTTCTTCCACCTTTTCTCCCTTGCATGCATTTCAGGAGCCAGGCAGTACACTTGGACCCCTCACAGGCCTGCTGTCTTTTCCACACCATGCTGGCTTTGTTGGACGATCAGCTAGGGCGTCTGGTGCTGGCTGAAGAAAACAACTCTAATATGGTGCTCAAGCACAATCTGCGCCGCTCCAAGCTCTTTCTACAGGTATTCTCCCAAGTGTGTGCTTGCACGTCTCAGGGCTGAACTGCAGGGAGCATTTAGAAAGGGAGGTAGAACTTAGGACCTGAGTAACCGAGAAGGGAGCCAGTATTGAGGAACACGGTAGGGCAGGGGTCATCGACCTGTGGCCCTCTGCACGAACTTGCACTGTCCTACACCGTTCACTAGACTAAGTGGAGTTGTTGGCCATAGCATCTGGAATGCCACAGGTTGCTTTCTGCCACTTTCTACAGTACCAGAGGTGGGTAGAGTATTTGACTGCTGGGAACCATGCAGTTTGAAGGCAGGCAGGAGTGCACTTTTAACGGTACAAGGATGATTCTCACTGTGTACCGTCTTGTTCAGCGCAATGGAGACCACATTTAGTGGTGGGGAATTCAGCCAAACTGTGATCAGTCTTTCAGTATGGAAGTAAATCTGACCTATGTTTGTATAAATGTATTATCTGATGGACATCCTTTTCTTATCCATATGTAACATGCTTTCAATGCAAACTTTAAGCTTAGGACAGTTTGCTCTTTTTTTCCTCTTCCAACTAAGTGCTAAGTTTAGTATGGGAGCAAATAGAAAGCACAGGCTCAAGCACATTTTTTCAGCTTTTATTTTGAGCCTGCATGGAATAATAATAATAATAATAATAATAATAATTATTATTATTATTATTATAACATTTCTATGCCACCCCTTGCCGAAACCTCGGGACGGCTTACAACATGATAAAATACATTGAAATACAATAGTACATGTATAGCCCATGATATATGCAAAAATCTATTCGTTGCTTCACAAGATTGCAAATAAAAAAAGGCTGTGTGTCCTTCTAAAGATCAACATACTCTGGCTGTAGATCTCTGCACACTTCCATGAGAAGTTATTTTCAATTCAGTGGTGCTTGTGCCTGAGCAAACATGCATAGAATCGCTCCATCACTGTGGCATAAGCTTTTGAGAATTAGATCTTAACACTGTTCTCCATTGCATTCTCTGTACCACCAACTCAGCCCCAAACCATTTAAAATGAGTTTTGAAATGCTTCTTAACATCTGTTTAGAAGGATACTGAGATTTTGGGACATCTAAAAATGGTATAAACAGACTGCCTCTCTTTAAAAAGCATATAAGGCACTCAGCTGATTTGATAGGCTATTCTAAAGATGGAAACAGAATGTAGATCAGATCTAGAGATTCCACTCAATATAACGATGTGGCCTACTCCTGATCAGCACTAGAAATCTCACCCTGCAGTTTGGTTCATCCATCAGAGGTGACTTGAAGTATGTTTTTCATGTCAGGACTCAAATTTCTAGTCTGGCTGAGGAATCCAGAATAGTCGGCAATCTTTCTAAGTATTTTGAAATAGGAACTTGGACAGCTCTGGTGATTTTGTTTCCTCAGCAGGCAGATGGCAGGATTGCCCCTGTGAAACCCAGACAGGATGAAGCCTGAGTTTGCACAATAGTTATTTAAGCCATGGTGCGTTGCAGAACGTACCAACCTATCCCAGGTGATTTGAGTATTCAAGCCACAACTGCAGCATCGTTATATCCAAACCCAGTGAGACTATGTTGTTGGATTGAGGGTGGGTTAAATAAGCCACAGTCGGCTGCTCAGTTGTACCAGGTGGCTGAGAGATAAAACTGTAGGAAGAGTGGCCAGGTGGCTGCTAAATGTAAGAGGCACAGCAATCTGCATGAGGAACCCATGAGAGGATGGATTATGAATTGTGATGAGGAATGTGCATCTTCCTCCATCAGACTGTTTGAAAAGCTACTGTTGAAGATCTTTCTGCCTTTCCTTCCAGGCCAGGTATCAAGATCAGCCGGAGCAGTTGGCCAATGTCATTGCTAATCTGCTGAAACAGGAGGAGGTGATTCTGTCTGAAGCCTTGGCTGCTTCCCAGGTAACAGCCTGCTCGGTGCTCTCCTGCTGGGCTCTGTCACAATGACGGGTCACATGTTACATCCACCCCCTTACTTTCCTTCTAGCAGCTTTGCGCTTTCAGCCATAACTTGCCCAACCCCCAACTTTGTTTTCCACCCACCATATAGCATAAGATGCCTAGCCCAATACTAATAACCTTTTCTCCAAGATCTGCAGCAAAAGATCCTCATGAAAGTCACTGAATTGTATCCAAATGTTCTCTTGCTTCCCTACCTCTGGACTTGGTTCTTGTTTGCCAGGCCTGGACATCTTCCTCCTCCTGCCCACCATGTACTGTTGGGAGAAAAGGGGATTTAAATAAGTGAATGGCAGGACAGAGGTGTTGTATAGGCAGGAGAACAACACTGAGAGAAACTTGAAGTATTTACAGAAGATGAAGGCTATCCTTTTAACAAAGGACTAGATCAAGGGTTCAGAACCACTGGCCAAGGGCAAAACCCAGCCCTCTGGGTTTCCCTTGCCATTTTTTCCTGGCCCCAGCATTTTGTGATTCTCCAGCATTGGTGCAGTTGTTTCCCCCTTCTAAAAGTTTGAAATACCTCTCTTAAGTCTTTGCTACTGAGAATAAGAGCTGGTCTCTTTTGTATTTTGGTTTGGTTTTATATTTGGCCCACCCATCACTGGAATGTAGTTTTTCATTCTCATTCCGCTTTCATGAAATGTGGCTCTTGATAATTTTGGACTAGATCAATTTCAAATGAATTTTCATAGCAGTGAGGATTAGAAATTTTATTAGAAGTTGCTGCCCTTTTTCTGGTGTACTAAAGGGAAATTTTCCACTTATCTATTTTGTTTCTCTTCTATAATTCTCATTATTGCAGTGCCTTGCCCCTTTTTTTCTTTCTAGTGCTAGATTTTTTAAACTGTGTTCAGAAATTTCAAATGTTCCTCCATGTCAGTAATGGTGAACAAACATTCCTTAAAAAAGCCAGTGTACCAGTTCTGAAATTCCCCCACACTATGCACCTGCAAAAGACTGTTCTAGAGTGCACTTTCAGTTCACATGAGGTGACAATGAGGACTAGAGACTTATGACTAGTACTCTCTAAGCTGTACTCTCTAACACATACCCCAGAATCTTATCTAAAGTGTTTGGCTGATAAGTCATGTCAATGTCAATCCTGAAGAAATAAGTTTGAAAAGTCCTATGCATCTGAAATGCATCAAACAATAGTAGAGGTTCCTAGGGATTTCCTCTTTCTCCTGTTGCAGGAAAGGGCACAGCCCCAACCAAATGTTCCCGTGACTACGAACCATGAGCACAATATTGAGGATCGGCTAATGGAGATGCGAAAGACAATTCAGGTGAGAGTCCTGTTGGGAAAGGAGCAACGTGTTTGGCTCTTTCCTTTCGCTTAGCATACTTTTTAAACTGAGATTTCCAGTACCTAGATAAATTTAATTTAGTGTTGCTGAATCCTACTAGTGACATATTTTATACACAATATACTGTGATTCTTTTCCCACAAGCTCCCTCAATCCTATACAATCCCTAAACGGAGGAACTACAATTGACGCATGTAAATATCCGGCCCCATCTTTGCTGTCCTCTTATTGGACAAATATTGATTGATGGAAATTTTTAGTGTTTTATGGATTTTGGGCATTGCCCTGAAAGGGCTTTTTTGTCCTGCAGGCATCTTTAGAATAACCTGTATCAAGATGGATGTGGGCACAAATCCCTCTTCGCACAACCTAGTATAGTTGTTCCATCCTCCCCTACAAAGAGGTCTCTAAGTGCCTCTTTCAAGTAGAGATGCGCAGGCTTTGTTAAATCCATTCCGTCTGCTTTTCACAGATTATTGGACATCTTTTGTTCCACCATCAGCTCATCGCCAGAGTTGGATTTTGAAGCAGTGTGCACTTCCAAAAACATGCAGTCCTTCCAAATAATGCATTTTCATGCTATAGTCTATGGAGGGAAATGCACTTCCCACTTGGTTATTATTTTTATATCTTTCTATGGCAATGTTTGTGTAACATTACAGAATGTAAGGGAGAAGAAATCCATGAGTCTCTGGTATCTGTACAACCCAGGAGAAGCCAGTCCGCTATAGAATTTGCGATTTTGATTCATGGAGATTCTAGATTTGCATATTTCCACACACACACAGTGATCTTGTGCACTCACAGTGGTTTCTGGCAACCTCTTGTTTCAACTTTGTTCCCTTGTTCGAAATGGGAAATACTAGAAATGCTGCTGTGCCTGTGCTTACAGGGGTTGGGTAGAATGTGGGTGGCAATTGCAAACTGGCAGGGCTTGGTTTTTCTTAGATTTTGGATGGATGGGTTGATGTGTATCCTGGGCAGATTGTGCCTTGAAGTTACTTGTCTTGTTTGGGTATAATGCCTGGTTCTACTCCACAGGGCCTGAAAGCTTCCGCAGAGACTCTTGAGGATCTGCAGGACACCTTTGACTTCCGTTTTAAGACATACAAGATTTTAGGTGAGGAAATTTGGGGTGGTGGGGAAGTGGAAGAACCACCCTTGGCTGGAAGAATGAACAAGATGGAAAGAGGGCATTTCTCTTCATATATCCTTAAAACAGGTGGGGAGGAGAAAGATTGGGATCTGCTAGTGCAGTAGATAAGCAAGGTTTTCTAATAACAGCAATATATGTTTCCTCTCCCTGCTACCAAATTATACTGCTGGAAGAAAGAAAGGTGGGATAACCAGGTGTATATTGCTCTTTGGAGGGGCTGTGAGCTCATTCCATTTCTAGTACTTGAAACAGATTTAGGGCTCAAGATTCTTTTTTTCTTTTTAATTCTAAGTCTTTGCAGCTGCCTGTAGTTCAAGGGTTGGCAATTGATGGCCCTCCTGATGTCTTTTTGACTTAGAACTCTCATTAGCCCTAGCCAGTATAGCCAGGGGTGATGGGAGCTTTGGGCCAAGGCATTTGGAGGGCCACCCCAGTTGCCATCCTGGACTAATTGAGGAATGTAGGTTTTAATTGGTGTGTAAAAACCACAACAACCAAGAAGAACCAACTGGATTCTACAAGACTGAAGAATCCACCTAGCCTTCAAACAACAAAACAACTTTCCCTCCTTTTTCTTGATAGCTCTTGCCTACCAGTCCTTCTGATTTCTTTGTTGACTACCAAACAACATCTGGGGGAGGGGACGCCTTGCGAGGTTCCTGTTTCCCCAAGTTCAATCTGTGAGTGCCCCAAACTGCATCCGGGCATCCTCCACTGTCCTGGCCCTGAACTCAGGGAGGGCAGCTCCCTAGATAGGAGAGTCTCCTGTGTCCAAGGAGGTACTGCACACAACACAGAACCCAGATTATGCACCATAACAATGAGAAAGGGCTTCCAGAGAAGCCTCTCCCCAGGTATCCCAGAGGATTCACCATGTTAGGCACATCCTATGCATGATTAGACAGAAAGTCCTGCAACTCCTACGCTGGCTGGGAATGCTGGTAGCTGCAGGACCTTTTTCTGTCTAAATAGCTTACGATTGCAAAGGTAGGAATGTATCTAAGTTCAAAAAGACTGGAACATAGAGCATGTTTGAATCAGAGCATTACTCAGCTGTCGCCCACATGTTTGAGCCGTGACCCGGTTGCTGCTGGTTCCCACAAGCTAACAGGATTGGTGTCAGAGACAGAATGTGTGTTACGCTGAAATGGTGATAGTCAAATCACGGGCTGCAGAGTAGGATGAGCCTCTGTCATGAGGTGCCTTCTGCTTCCTGTCTGCCCTTGTTTGTAGGAAAGATGTAGGAAGCTGGACTGCCTCTAGGAAAGAGTTGGGAGCATCAGCTGATTTCCATCATCATTGAACTCACCAGTGGTGTGAGAACATGGTCCTCCTCCTAAACATATTCTTCCATTGCAGAGAGTATGGCATCCATTATTGATCCCGTTCAGGCGAGACGGCACCAGGAATTGCAACTCATGATCAATAATTTGGACTGCTCCCGCAAGGTGAGTCAGGGCAATTGGCCAATGCATCATGAGGGGTTTTGGGGAGAAAAGGCTTGGGCCTTTTCTTCAGATATGTCTCTGTCTTCCTCAGTATCCTTGCTAAAGCAGAGACCCTAGGAGGCATGCTAATGGCACCATGTCCTTCCCGTCCCAGTTCTCCTGCCTGCTTGCTGAGATCTTTGGATGAATCCACTCTTACCTAAGTATCCTCTTTCTGTCAGGACATCCTGGCCCACATCCAAGCCCTGCTGGGGCGCTCTGACACTCTGAGGGGCCTACTGCTGGAGCAGCTTGCTGCGTGGCAAGATCGCCAACGGCAGGCATGTATGGGGGCCACTTGCGATACCAGCTTGGGACAACTGGAGAAGTGGTAGGTCCCATTGATGGAGCTAAGCATGGTCCAGTTCCTTGTCACATTGGAGACTGGGGATGGTCCTTTGGGCCTGGCTGTTTGAGGAAAAGCATTTGGCCCACCTGCTGATGATTAAGTGACATAGCAGTTAACTTAGTGCTTCAGGCAGTTTAAGAAGCTTCAAGTGGTCTTCATCCAGTCATTCCAAATGAAGAGCTAAATCAGGATTACCCTCCTGTAATGAAAGCTGCCCATTACATTTATGTGTGAGTTACCTTTCTGGGCTCACTTTGTAGAAGGCCTGTCTAAGCTGGTGACCCGAAGCCAATAAAACATGACACCATTCATACAGTGAGCAATTACATGAAAAGCTTTAAAATTATTTAAATGGAAAAGATGCAGTGCAGGCAGTCTGGATCAGGATCACAGTGGGAAACAAAGGGTTAAATGCCGCTATGTGATCATCTTGACCCAGACCGGGATACCTGTGGCTGTTGTTTACTCTTAAGGAGGCATTCATGTAACTGCTAATTACATCAGTGGTACATTTAGTTCAGCCTTTCCACCAAAATCAATGCAAGAGGTCTGAACCTTTGTAGATGCATGGTTTTGAACAGCCCATGCTTTCTGTGTCAGTCTTTTGGGGTATAAGTGTGAAGTGTGGGTTCAGTTTTAACTCAGTCTCTACAGACTGTAGAGACTCTGCAGACAGTCTCTACAGAAAAGTGTCTCTACAGTCAGCTTCTTGCATTCCCTGTGAAAGCAGAATGGATGTTGCTGTCTATGTGGCCTTTGAAATGGCCATGTCCCTTGCTTTTCTTTAATGCCATGTAAGAGCTGTGACTCCTTCATGGATCACTGCCTTGTCATGGCGAAGGGGCTTGCATAGCTCAGTGAAGCTATGAGCTATGCTGTGCAGGGTCACCCAAGAGGGACAGGTCATAGCAGAGAGCTCTGACAAAACGTGATCCACTGGAGAAGGAAATGGCAACCCACTCCAGTATCTTTGCCATGAAAACCCCATGGACAGTACCAAAAGGCAAAAAGATATGATGCCGGAAGATGAGCCCCTCAGGTCAGAAGGTGTCCAATATACTACTGGGGAAGAGCGGAGGGCTAGTACTAGTAGCGCCAGAAAGAATGAAGCGACTGGGTCAAAGCTGAAAGGACACTCAGTTGCAGATGTATCTGGTGGTGAAAGGAGAGTCCGATGCTGCAAAGATCTATACTCCATAGGAACCTGGAATGTAAGATCCATGAATCAAGGCAAGCTGGATGTGATCAAACAAGAGATGACAAGACTGAACATTGACATCTTAGGAATCAGCGAACTGAAATGGACTGGAATGGGTGAATTTAATTCAGATGACCATCAGGTATACAACTGCGGGCAAGAATCCCTCAGAAGAAATGGAGTAGCCTTCATAGTCAATAAAAGAGTAGGACAAGCAGTACTGGGATACAATCTCCAAAATGGCAGAATATTCTCAGTTCGAATCCAAGGCAAACCATTCAACATCACAATAGTCCAAGTCTATGCCCCAACCACTGGTGCTGAAGTGGCTGAAGTTGACTGGTTCTATGAAGGCCTACAACACCTTCTAGAATTAACACCAAAAAATGATGTCCTTATCTCCATTGACTATGCTAAAGCCTTTGTGTGGATCACAACAAATTGTGGCTAGTTCTTAAAGAGATGGGAGTACCTGACCATCTTATTTGTCTCTTGAGAAACCTGTATGCAGGTCAAGAAGCAACAGTGAGAGGGCACGGAACCACTGATTGGTTCAAAATTGAGAAAGGAGTTTGGCAAGGCTATCGCCCTGCCTATTTAACTTATATGCAGAGCACATCATGAGAAAGGCGGGGCTAGATGAAGCACCAGTTGGAATTAAGATTGCTGGGAGAAATATCAACAACCTCAGATATGCAGATGATACCACACTAATGGCAGAAAGTGAGGAGGAACTAAAGAGCCTCTTGATGCAAGTGAAGGAGAAGAGTGCAAAAGTTAGCTTAAAACTCAACATTAAGAAAACTAAGATCATGGCATCCGGTCCTCTCACTTCCTGGCAAATAGATGGGGAAGAAATGGAGGTAGTGACAGGTTTTATTTTCCCGGGTTCCAAGATCACCGCAAATGGGGACTGCAGCCAAGAAATTAAAAGACGCTTGCTCCTGAGGAAGGAAAGCAATGACAAATCTAGACAGCATACTAAAAAGCAGAGACAATCACCCTGCCAGCAAAAGTACGTATAGTCAAGGCTATGGTTTTCCCAGTTGCAATGTATGGCTGTGAAAGCTGGACCATAAGGAAGGCTGAGCGTCGAAGAATTGAGGCCTTTGAATTGTGGTGCTGGAGGAGACTCCTGCAAGTCCCTTGGACCGCAAGGCGATCAAACCAGTCAGTCCTAGAGGAGATCAACCCTGACTGCTCTTTAGAAGGCCAGATCCTGAAGATGAAACTCAAATACTTTGGCCACCTAATGAGGAGGAAGGACTCCCTGGAGAAGAGCCTAATGCTGGGAACAATAGATGGCAAAAGAAGGGGATGGCAGAGAATGAGGTGGCTGGATGGAGTCTAGCAGTTGGTGTGAGCTTGGGTGGACTCCGGGAGATGGTGGAGGACAGGAGGGCCTGGAGGAATGTTGTCCATGGGGTTGCGATGGGTCGGACACGACTGCGTGACTAACAACAACAACGTAGGAATGCCATTCACAAAAGTATGTATTCAAGGCAAAAATGAATATTAGAACGCATGTATCAGGAGAAATGTGCACAAATGTGGGAGACCTGCACTGAGCAGGGAGTTGGACCCAATGACTTATTCGCCCTTTCTTACAGTTTAGCCTGCAGAGTGTAAAATTAAAATATGTTAACATTAGGAACAAATAAAGCTTAAGACTGAAGAAATGCTGAAACTTTGTAATGAACCATACTTAAGATTAGAAAAATTAGATGCTGAGGGAACTGAAATTGACCTATTTGTCCATTCCTCTGACACGGAAACATTAGAGTCAGCCCTTTAGTGCATCACTATATTCATCTGTCTAGTCCTGTGTTATCAAGACTGGCAGTAGTGGCTCTCCGAGGTTTCAGGCAGGAGTTTTCCAGCCCTGCCAGGAACTGCAGCGATGGAACCCGAGGCCTGCAGCCTGCAAAGCGGGTGCTCTGCCCCGGAGCCAGAGCTCCTTCTTGCCCAAGTCCCTCAGTTCTAACCCTCTTGGGTGAGGATGCTCAAGGAGTGTCCAGGTGCCACCACCCCAGCCTTGTCAAAGCAATTTGTCTGCTTCACTCTTTGCCCTTTCTTCCCACTGCAGGATCGAATGTAACACCACAGAGTACTATCACCTGGGACCAGTTTGCTAAGGTAGGTGGCTCTCCATCCGGCTGTCATTCCCCATCTCCCCAAGCCTGCTGACCACCTCTTCCCTAGTTAATGTTTTCTCCCTGCTGTTCCCACAGGATACAGCTTCCAGCTTCTCCTTCTGGACTTGGATTGATGGGATCTTGCTCCTCATTCAAGAGCGCCTGCTGCAGCTTTGGCAGAAAGAGTAAGAGGGAGGCAGTAGTGGAGCGGTGGGGGACCTATAGCTCTGTCCTTAACAAGGACAGGTTGCATCTCCCGGTCTGGATGGCAGGCTCAGGTCCCAGCACCTTTTTGCCGCGCAATTAGAAGTAACGCCTTCCATTTGCAGATGGGAGTGGGATTTGGTAGTGGGAGGGAGAGCCAGTTCACTACGCCAAACAGGTCACCCATTGAGGGAGGGGCCACAGCATAGAGACAGAGCCTGTGCTTTGCATGCAGCTGGCATCTCCAGGACCAGGCTGCATGAAACCTTGGCTAGTCATAGCATTGAAAAGGGAATATTAATCTAGGGCAGCAGTGGGTAGAAGGTAGATCTCCATATGTTTGGAACTTCAGCTCCCAGAAGTTCCTGCCAGCTTGGCCAATAGTCAGGAATGCTGGGAGTTAAGTCTAAAACATCTGGCTATCCACTTTCTGCCCATCTCTGCTCTGAATAGACCTAGCATCTGGCTCAGTATGGGGCAGCTGTGTTCCAGAAGTTTGAAACAACACTTCTGGGCATGAAGAAGTACAAACACCTCAAGCACAGCAGGAAATGGCTCTTCTTAAGCAAGACTGACAGCTCTTATTTCATGTTCTGGAGCTGACTGCCCTACTTAGGTAGTATTGAGTCAGACTCCCTGTTCGTGCCAGTTACCCCATCCCTCACCATAGTAAGGCAAGGCAGAGCACTTTCTGATGTAGATAGAAGGAATTTGGACAGGGGTCATTCATAACATGCTGGCTTCTATTGAATCAGAGCAATTGGCCCTTTAACTCAGTACTGATGACAGTGACTCACTGCAATGCCTGTCCAGGGTTTCAGCCTGGAGTTTTTCCAGCCCTCCCTGGAGACGCCAGGGATTGAATGCACGAGTTCCTGCATACAAGCAGCTGCGGTACTTTTCAGTGTTTTTGGCACCTGGTGATAGCAAACAGCAGCCCATATGTGCCCAGTTGCCTTACTGAAAGATGCAGAGGGCAAGAGGTGAGCTGCTGGCAGAAAACTGTGCTTCATCTTCTGTCTGGGGTAGCAGGTCACCGAGGCTGCCTTGTTGATGTGAGCCAGGAGAAGGAGAAGGAGAAGATGGAGTGAAGCCAGTCTAGCATTCTTGGGCAGGAATTCAGGTCAAGCAAAGCTTTTCCTGATCATTCTCCCCCTACTCCATTCTCATTGTAGTCTCATCATGGGATTTGTGAGCCGCAAGCGTGAGAAACATTTGCTGAAGAGGAAAAGGTCGGGTACCTTTCTGTTGCGGTTCAGTGAGAGCATCGCAAATGGTGCCATCACCTTTACCTGGGTGGAGTATGACAGTGAAGGTCAGTTTCTGACATTTGCTCCTCAGCTGTACTTTTCCACGCATTTTGCAAATACTTTGAGGATTGCAGGATGTTTCCTTTCACTTGTTTAGTCAAAGCATGCTTTGCACATCCATGACATGGGTTTCCAACAGTAAATGATCTTTCATGTCTTTAAGCCATCAGCAGATATAGCATTCCTCTGATCGGACCTGTAGAGCAGGAGTGGCAACTTGTGCTTGTGACCCTCTGAATGTTTTGGTTTACAGCTCCCTTCACCCTTAGCTAGTGGTGAGTGATGATGGAATTTATAGGTCCAAACAGATTCTCTTCCTAGTCAGCAAATTCAGAAGGAAAAAATAATATGTGTACATTAGACATGTACAAGCCTTTGAAGACTCCCCACAAAGTCTCATTAATACAGAATGGAGTCGCTAGGATGCTATCTGGGACCACGTGTATCTTGCCTGCATGTAAAGAGCTCGAATGGCTTCTAGTCCCTTTTGAAGCCTAATTTGAAATGGGGGTACTTATCTTTCAAAGATGCAAAGATCACATGGCTTGTGATTCAGATTCCTTAAAGAAGCACCTCCTTCTGTATGAATTGGCCCTAGCACTGAGACAGCCTTCAGAAACCCTCCTCTGCATAGCTCTGTCACATGCAGAAATGTGGATGGTGACCAGGGAGAGGAACTGCTCCCTCGTGGCTCCCTCTCCATGGGATTCTCTTCGCAGGGGTGCTGTTTGCCTTGTCTCCTCTTTGAAGTCTTCCCAGTAGTAGGCAAAAGTCTCCTTTATATTCTTGAGTACATAAGAAAATGGCACTACTAATTTTATTTGTTTAATGTTCTTTTAAATATATAACTTAGTTCACCTTTTTAACCTTTCATCTTTTAAATATTTCCATCATTTTGTAAACTGATCCTGAAAATGTCCATTGAAAGAAAGTGTTCAAATCTAATAATTTTAAACAAGCATAAAGCAATATGTGGATCGTTTTAGGTCAGGATTTTCCCAAAACTTCATTTCAGTCCATCTCACCTTTTCTGAACTCATTCTACATATCTGACATCAACAGACAAGTAATTTTGTTCAAGTCTTCAAGGTATGGCTATCATTGAATTTGTAAACTCCACAGGCTCTGCCAAGTTCTGCTCAGTTCAGCCTTACACCAAGGAGGAGCTCAAATACTTAGCTTTGCCTGACATCATCCACTCCTACCAGCTCCTGGCAGAGGAGTACATCCCCGAGAATCCACTTCAGTACCTCTATCCTGACACTCCCCGGGATGAAGCTTTTGGTCCTTACTACAGTGAACATCGAGAAGGTATCCCTCACTGTCCGCCAGCTTCTCCTTTGTGGCTTTGTTTATGCCCTGACCGCTGGGGTGTTCTGATGCACTGCCTTTCATATCAATCGGTAGGGCTTGCATGGTGGGGAGAAAGGAGAAAGTAGATGCCTTGGACTTCCATTCCCAACTTTCCCAGCCACTGGCCATGCTGGCAAAGGCCTTGTGGAGGTTGTAGTCTGAAACATTTGGACTATGTGTATTGCATACTTCTGTCTGCAGAATTCATCATGCAGAGAATTTCCTTGTCTGAGGATTGGGGTGTGGGGGGGTGGTTAAAACAAATTTGATGATTGCTATGATCATGATGCTGGCTACGACTTCCTTCTACAATATCGCCAATGTTGTGACACTTGACAAAGCAACAAGGGGGAAGTTGGACAAAATGGGAAGCCGTAGCAACTTTTTCAGCTGTAGCTTGGGTTCCATGTCTTTCCAAATTGGCAACTGAAATGATAGGTGTGCCTGTCAATAAAGGAAAGCTACTAGTCTTCCCATTGTTCCCCACTTGATCCCCAGTGCTTTAGGCATGCTGTTAATCTTTAAGATTAGATCGTTTTAGATGTGCTCGTACATTAACATTTCTCATTTTATTTGTCACTGAATTCATTTAAAGCATGAGCCCTCCCCCACCCCAGAGGACAAAACTGCCCCACAGATTTGCTCCCCCTTAAGGAACCTCCCCTTCCACACCAGTCTGTGCTGTGCACTGCTGGTTTCTGTTCCTGTGATGAAGAGCAGGAGTTCTAGCAGGGGGAAAGTGCACCTAGACAGATCACAGGGATTGTTCTTCTCAGACTGGCTCCACAGCTCTGCCCCTTAATCCTAAATCTGAATTGAGTGGCTTTTCCTGTAGATACATGAACACGAACTGGTGGCGTTCCAGAAGCCAGTGGGGCTGAGCCACATTTCTTACCCTTGAGGAGCTGGACCCCACTGCTCTCTGAAATTGCTTGCCTGTTAAAATGATAGCAGCCATAGCAGGGTCTCTATCTGTGTTTAACCTGAATCAGGACTGAGGGACGGATTGTGGGAATTTAAGTATTTAACTTTCCTCACCCCCTCCAGACTGCATTCACCCCATTCCATAGTGGCTGTTTGCATGAGAAGGCAACACTGGGATCTTTGCTCCTCATGCAAATATGTATTATTATTATTTTGATTAATTAATTAATTAATTAATTAACGAACAACATTTATACCCTGTCCTTTACGTCCCAGGATGACTTACAAGAATAAATAATTCACAACAAAATACAGCATAACATAACAAGCGTAACAGAGCATGACTAAGTATAACAATGTTGAAACCTAATTAAAATAATTAAATATTTAAATAATGGGCAAATAGAAAGGTTTTTTTTTTTAATTTATTAAAATAGCAGCCAAGGAGAGATTTGACTGGGACTGGGGCAGATGGGCAGGACAAGTTAAAGCCTGCCACGTCACTGTCACAGTCACAGCTCTCTTGCTGCTTACTTTTAAACATTTGTACATTATTAATTGTGTGAATAAAATCATCTCCTCAAAGTGCCCAAATATATAATGGCAAAATGGCGCTTCAAGATATCCATGGATGCCAGATTTCAGAGCTCTTCTCAGTATAGGATTTGAGTCATGTTTTGCAGATTTTAATGCAGAATTGCTGAGCTGGTTCATACGGGCTGTTTCTGTTATCTTTGCAGCAGACCTGACAGCACAGAAGAAATACCTAAACCGCCGCCTGATTAGAGTCTCCTGTAGGTGAGCAACCCTACCTTGTCCCTTCTCATCCTCATCGAGGACTACGTTGGGCTGATTCTTTCCTCCCCGGAGTTTCTTTTTGCCCAGTTTAATCCACCTGTGCCACTGCAGTGGGCTCAAAGATCCTAAGGAAGTGACACAGCAGGTCCAGGTTTGCTTACAAAGAGATTTTATTAAGTAATTGTCAACACAAGCAACCTGCAGCCAGCAAGGCTCCCCTCAGCAGGAACAGACAAGCAGTGAAACCTCCTGGTCTTAGCAAGAAGTTCGAACAGAGGACTGGGCCAGCTGGCCAGCTTATGTACCTTCTCTCATGCACAGCCAAAGTGTGGAATATTACAGTTGTGTGCCCTTTGAAGTCACCTGGATGTGTACTTTAAAGTGATATATACAGCTGTGTCAGCTGTACACAGTGCCTAGCTTTGCTAACTGCCATGATAATCCTTCATCATATGGCATGTGGCTGGAATACAAGCTTGTAAGGAAGCCCAATAAGCAAACACCTGCTTTTTATTTCTCAGGGTGCCATGTATCTGTCCTTTCTCCATCTTTCCTGCCGAAAGGCCTTAAAGGCCAGGCAAGGTGAAAGACACCAACAGCCTAGGCCAGTGATGGTGAACAGAGCCCTCTGTCGGCACGCGAGCTGAGTTGCCCCAGCAGCCAAGCATTAAGAGCACACATAGGGGCCAAGTGCATGCTTGGAAAGGAGTAGTGGCGTCGGGTGATGATGTCACAAGCTGTGACTCAATACCCGCGACTCGTCCAAGCGTTCACATCACCGATCAGTGCGCTAACAAGAATATATATATATATTTGCTTGGACTGGCTGTGAGTTGTTTTTTCTAAACTAAAACCTCAGTGCAGAAAAAGCTACTCAAAGGCGGCATTTTCAAAATTGCCCTCTTTTCCATGGAACTTTAGCCCTGTATTAGGGTTGGGATGTGCACAAGGATAGGGCTAGGGTTAGAAAAATGGGGTGTCCTGGCATGATTTGATGGTTGGAATGTGTTTAGAAGGGGCAGAAATGTTGAGCTGTGCAGAAAAAGCTACTCAAGGAAGGCTTTTTCAAAATCACCCTCTTTTCAATGGTATTTTACCCCTATATTAGGGTTAGGGGTGTGCACCAGGGTAGGGTTAGGGCAGTGGTGGTGAACCTATGGCACACGTGCCACAGTGGGCACACAGAGCCCTCTCTGTTGGCACGTGAGCCAAGTCACCCCAGCATTGCCCCAGCAGCCGAGCACTGGATAGCAGCGCACACAGGGGCCATGCGCATGCTCGGAAAGGAGTAGCAGCACCAGGCAATGACGTCACGAGCCGCGACTCATTAGCTGCAACTCGCCCAAGCTTTCACATGGCCAGTCAGTGTGCCAGTCAGTGTGCTGCCAAGATTATATATATATATATATAGATAGTTCCTTGGACTGGCTGTGATTTGTTTTTTTCCAAACTAAAAACTCAGTTTTCAGGTTTTATTGTAGTATTGGCACTTTGCGAAAATTAGTGGGTTTTGGGTTGTAGTTTGGGCACTCGGTCTCTAAAAGGTTTGCCATCACTGGTCTAGATAATCCCATTTCTTTCAGTCTCTGTGACTATTCCAGGGCATTTGAGGCTGTGCCATGAGCCATGCATCTCTAGCCTTAAGGGCCCCCTGCACATGCCTTCTGTCATGGGGGCTACATTAGGGCTAATTCCCACTGCTACTGTTGTTCCCAAACTGGGATAGATTGGTGTCTATCCTGTAGTAAAATGAATGTATTTGAAAAACATGTTAAACATCTATATTTTTAATAAAATATCAATACACATCCACACAACATGTATCTGTTTGTTAGGCAAATTTTCTTGGTGTCTTTGCAAAGCGTGGAGGGGCATGGGTGGGGGGTTTTCTTCAGCTTTGCGGCTGCTCTCTTATTTCACAGGCTGGCATTCTGTTCTTCCATTATCTTTTCCAGATATTGGAAAGAGAGATAAAAGTCTTGTGGGACTTGCAGAGTTTTGAAAGTAGAGGGGCCGTCTACTAACATGGGATTTTCAGGCAGGAAATTCACAGGGTTGTGGAGTGAGGGGGCGTTGTTTGTCACTGTGTACCTAAACAGCGGTGCAGCAATGAATACCCACATCCTAATTTTGAAACCCATTCCTGCAAAGGTGCACACAGTCAGAAAACTCAAAAAGGAAAAGGCAACAACATGGCAGCCTGGTTTCCCGTTGCTCTCACAGTGGCAGCACCGTACTGTGGCTTGCAGTGTGTCTTTGTGCTTTAAATGCGAATGCTAAGCTGCACATTGCTCGTCATGCTTGTGCTACTTCTACAGCTGCAACACATGCATGGGAGCGCTCAGATACCATGCAGACATAGTTGGCACTGTGCTGTCTCACCACAGGGTGCCTTCATTGCTGCCGTTGTCTTTAGGAAATGCATCAGCACAGTGGTGCTCTGCAAACCACATGGGCTCAAAGATCACGTCTCTTCCATTCTCACATCCCCGCCAGTCATGTTTCTGAGCATGATGGGATGCTTCCACTTTGCTCCTTTGCACTAACTAAATGTTTTCATCCATCTAGGCAACCAGGAGAGGCTGAAACTCTTGAGACAAATGGTCTCCCCATTGTAAATGATGTGCCCTTGACCAATAACATCAACATCATCAGTGAGAACACCACGAGTGACATCATCAACGACACCATCAGTGATACCATCATCAATGAGAACACCACGAGTGACATCATCAACGACACCATCAGTGACAACATCGTCAATGAGAACACCATGAGTGACAACATCAATGACATCATCAGCGATAACATCATCGGTGACCTCTGCGATAACATCATCAGTGACAATATCATCAGTGACATCATCAGTGACAACATCCTGAGCGATACCATTGACCAGCTGGAGCAGGGCCTTTCAGCCCTTTTCTCAGAGAAGCAAGGTAAGTGGTGACTCTCAGGCCGCGAGAGGGTGAACTCTCAGCAATCCTGAGGTGTGGTTGGAACCCACCTTGGGACACACCATGATCTCAGGACCTACTGTTTGTAGGCTTCTGGTTTCCCATTTGGCTCTCCCCACAACCAGATCTTAATGGCTTTCCCATTCCACTCCTTTCATTCCCACTGATGCTTTGCTTCCCTCCCATTTTCTCAGATCCTTTCCTTCCACTGCCAAGTGAAGATCAGCACCTGGCACAGTTGCATTCTAAGCTGTTTGAGACACAAGACATGCCGGAACTAAAGGTGGATGAAGAAGATTTCCAGTGTTAGGACTTCCAGTAATGGCGTCAAGACAAAACAGACGTGATTAACGACCCTCCGTCGTTATCATGCTGGTAAATGTCCCGTGGTGGGCTGTGAGCCCAATCTAAGCCCTGTCGGGGCGGAAGATAAGTGCTGGAAATCTCCCAGGTGGTGTGGAACAGCAATTCCATGCCTGCTGGGGGAGAATCAGGCATTTTCAGCTGGACAACACAGGGAGGAGATTAGCCTCCCATTAGTTTCTGACATACCAGAAGATTAGTTTTAGGAATTTGTCGTTGGATTTACTGGGACACATTTATTTTCTGGTGTTTTTTTTTTTTTTTTTTTTATTTTTTTCCTTGTAAATTTTTTTTTTTTTTTTTTTTTTTTTTTTTTGGCTAACTGAAAAAAAAAGGGAAGCCCTCCTTTCACAAAACTGCAAGCGGCAACTGAGATGAAGGAGAGAGCTGGGGCTGTTTGTAAGTAAAGAAAAGACTTTCTTTTTCTAATCTCTCCAGGGCAAAAAAAAAAAAAAAATCAAAAAATAAGCAATTAAGGTGGAATTGATTGATAGAAAATCTTTATACTGAACTCCTGCCAAGGATATCTGGATATCTGCCAATAAACTTTTGTATTATGTAGCATTTTTCTCTATTTTATGATCATGCTTGGGTGAGCATTGCTTTCCTTTCTTAGAAGCCTGTTTGTGAAAAAGCTGTACTTGTTACTAATTGGTATGAGAACAAAGAAAGTAAGTCCCTTTGAGGGAGGGAGGAAGCTCCCCCCCCCCCGCAGCAATCTAACGTTAGAGGGAGAGGACTTAAGGCTTGTGTAAAAGCTGAAATCGTGTCTCTTAAACCTCCTCAAGGGCAAAAACTAAAGTAACAATTACGGAATTAAGCTATACCAGAATATAACTTGTTGAGAAGACTGTGATCTGCTGATGCTCGGTGGACATTTGAATTATTGCAAGCTTTTTTTTCCCCCCCTAACAATTTTCTGCTGACACCCGGTGGACATTGGAATTACTGCAAGCTCTCTCTTTTTTTTTCCTCCCCCTTTTTTCCTTTAGTTCTTCTTCCTTTCAACTTCACCTCTCTTTTCTATTTTTTTCTCCTTTTTGGTGAATAACCTTCATCATGAGGAAAACACAGACCTCTTCCTCAGCTCCCTGTTCAGCGACTCAGAGCCCAACTCACCAACCTAAGATAGAAGAGATGGCAAAAAGCTTAAGGGAATTGCAAACGACGACTTTGGCGATACAGACGGCCTTAACAGCTTTGCAAGCATCCCAAGAGAGGATGCAAGCTTTTCAAGAAGCGATGGTAACACGGCTGGAGAGTATGTCAAGTGAACAGAAAGAGCGATGGGATAAATTGGATAACTCTGTTAAGGAGATAACAACTCAGCTTTCTGATGTTCGATTCAAAGCTGAACAGAATACACAAAAATTACAGCAAACACAGGGAAAGCTAGAAATGGTGGATAAAGAAACACAGTTAATCAAACAAACATGTAAGTCAACATGGGATGCCGTGACCGTATTAGAGATGGAAAAAGCATCTTATTACTTAAGATTTCAGAATATATTAGTGGAGAAGAGTGAGAGCCTGCGGGAATTGATGACCAATATGCTGGCAGACCTCTTAGGTGTAGATAATGAAGCCATGGAATTGGGGATCAACCTGATATATAGGGTCAATTCAAGCTATACTAGAAGAAACAAACTGAGAGAAGTTCATGTCAGATTTTCTCTAAGGGACAATGTTTTGAGGGCTACACGTGAGAAACCATTAAAGAGAGATTATCATCAAGAAGTGAAGGTTCTGAAACAAATACCATGGAGAGTTAGAGATGGGAGAAAGAAATACTTATTTCTTACCATGAAATTGATTAAGAAAGAGATTACTTTCAAGTGGTTAATACCAGAAGGAATATTTTTCACTTGGAACTCTGTAAGATATAGATTAGACTCAATTCTGAAAGCCCAAGAATTCTAGGAAAAATTTAGATCGATGCTCGAAGAGGAAGAACCCAGCATTGCAAAAGAAGAAGGAAAAAGTACTGAAGCAATGGAAGTAACAGAGAAGTAACGAACCTCGACGTACAGCAAGAAGCACAAATTTTGGACCCAAAGGAGAAGAGAAAGGGTAGAGCTGTAAAGGCGAAAAATAAGTAGATATGTATGTGTACATATATACATATATAGTTATATAATTTTTCTTAAATATGGCTACAAAAAGAGAAGGGAGAATTGAGTTCCTCTCCTTAAATGTTAATGGACTGAATGGACCCGCTAAGAGAAGAAGGGTTTTCGCTCAGCTTCAAAAACGAAAATTAGATATAATTTGTTTACAAGAAACACATATTAAGAAGCAAAGTGTTAAACTTTTGGAATGTTTAAAACTGGGAAAATTGTTTGTATCTTCTACTTCTCAAAAGAAAAGAGGTCTAGCACTCTATGTTAAGGAAAAACTGGAACCTAAATTTATTCTTGCTGGTGAAGGTAGAATTCTGATGGTTGAAATTACAATTAAACGGAAAAAAGTACTTTTAGTGGCAATATATGCGCCAAATGATCATCAGGAGACTTTTTACCAAAAATTACACATGTTACTTCTACAAGTGGATTTCCAGACAATGTGTCTAATGGGAGATTTTAACGTGATTGTGGATAAACAAATGGATTATAAGAATGTTAGTAAAGGAAAAACGGGCAGGAGGATACTCCCAAAGTCTTGCTCTAACATGATTGAGGAATTTAGACTGACAGACACTTGGAGGCACAAAAATCCATCTTCTGCCAAATACCCTTTTTACTCAAATAGACATAGGTCGTGGTCTAGAATTGATATGGTTTGGATAACTTCAGACTTAGTACCAGATCTGATAGAAGCTGAAATAGAGGCAAATGTCTGGGCAGATCACAACCTGGTATTCTTATCACTAAAAGGAACTGTAAGGGCGCCCAGATGGAGCCTAGATAAAGCATTGTTAAAAGATAAAAAATTCACAGAAAAGATGAATAAGGAAATGCAAGTATTTTTTCAAATAAATAAACCAGAAGAAACTTCTTTACAGAATGTCTGGGATACAGCCAAAGCCTATGTTAGAGGAGTGATAATAACATACTCAGCACAAATAAATAAAAAGAAAAAACAAGAGCAAGCTCTGATAGTAGAAGAATTGATGAAATTGGAACAAATGCTGCAGGAGGACCCATCAAAACAAAGTCTTAAGTCTCAGCTGGATATTTTAAGGCATAAGTTAAACCTTTTCGATACAAATGAGCTTACTAAACAAATGAAATTGACCAGACAGAACTTCTTCAAAAATGCTAATAAACCAGGGAGATGGTTAGCACATAAAGTTAAGAAAGAAAGAGAAGAGATTGATTGTGAAATTGAAAGACAGAGAAGGACAGCTATATTCACAGGGTGCACAAATCAAGAAAATAGAGGAAGACATTTTTACAAAGCTTTATCAGAAGGAGGAGATTTCAATCGAGAAAGTTAAAGAATATATTCAAAAGGGAAAGTTACAAAAACTACCAGAGAAATATTAAAAATTATTAAACCAAGAAGTCATGATCATGGAAGTAATAGAAGCAATCAAGCGACAAAAGAATGACAAAACTCCTGGCCTGGATGGACTACCAGCTGAGTTTTACAAATCTTTGGAAGCAATTTTTGCTACACTCTTAAAAGACATATGTAATGAAGCATTGTTAAATGCTAAGATACCGACTACTTCGACCGAGGCAAATATCACATTAATACCAAAAGAAGATATGGATGTAGCACAGATTCAAAATTACCGACCTATATCATTATTAAATGTGGATTACAAAATTTATGCTTCCATACTCACAGAAAGATTAAAGAAGTTATTAGTAGACTTTATCCATCCAGACCAGAATGGCTTTTTGCCAAAAAGACAAATGAAGAATAACCTGAGAACTATCTTGGATATTTTAGAATATTATGAGATACATACCGAAAAACCAATGGCCTCACTGTTTTTAGACACCCAAAAAGCCTTTGATAATGTTATTTGGCAGTTTATGAAACAGCAGATGATTCAAATGGAGTTTGGTGAAAGATTTATGAATGTGATATCAAGTATTTATCAAAAGCAATCGGCCAGGATCTTAATTAATGGAGAACTTTCAAACCCTATAGAGATTCAAAAGGGCACAAAACAAGGATGTCCTCTGTCACCCCTCTTGTTCATTATGACTTTAGAGGTACTGAACAGATGTGTTAGGGATGATGAGGACATCAAAGGAACTAGAATTAGGGATGAAAGTTATAAATCGCAAGCATTTGCAGATCTGGTTTTTATAACGGAGGGACCTTTTTCAACAATGCCCAAACTACTACAATGGATTGAAGAATATGGTGAAGTTACAGGAATGAAAATAAATAGAGAAAAAACGAAATTGTTAGTTAAAAACCTTACACGAGTACAAAAAGAAAGACTCCAGGAACAAGTAGACTTGCAGATTGTTAAAAAGGTTAAATACTTGGGAATCTTACAGCTAAATGTACTACCTTGAAAGAAGACAATTACGATAAATTATTGAAGGATATTAAAGGCTTTTTGGAAAAATGGGCCAATTTACAATTATCTTTGATGGGAAGAATAGCTCTTGTCAAAATGAATATATTACCTAAACTTCTGTTTTTGTTTCAAATGATTCCCATAAAAATTGATTAAAAATTCTTTGATGACTTAAGCTTTCATATCTCGAGGTTTATCTGGAGAAAAAAAAACCAAGGATTAAATTAAAAATGCTTCAGGAAGCTAAAAGAAATGGAGGTTTTGGTCTTCCTGATTGGATGTTGTATTATCAAGCGTCTGTTTTAACTTGGTTAAAAGAATGGGTAATGTTGCGAAATAAGAGAATTTTGTATCTTGAAGGTCATGACTTGCAGATGGGATGGGATTTCATATATGGTATGAAAAAGCTAAGTCACATGGGTCCTTCCTGAGTCATTTTATTAGAAGATCTTTAATGTCAGTGTGGGAAAAACTAAAGCTAAAACTGTGTAATAAGTTACCAAGATGGCTTTCACCTATGGAAGCTTTTGTATATCCAAATGTATTGAACTTTGAAAAGATCATAAGATATGGCAATATCCTGGATAAGGATGGTGGCCTGAAACTGGAGCAAGAGATACAAGAACAGGGACTTAATATTTCCTGGTGGTATAAGGTGCAGATGCAATCAAGATATGCTAAGGATTGTAAAACATGGGGGTTCTGTAGAGACCTAACAGAATTTGATCAAGTGATGCTTAAAACAGATGAGAAAATTGTTAAAAGGCTATATGATTTTTTACTTGACAGGAAAATAGAAGGAGAACAGGTTAAGGAAACTATGATAATATGGGCACAAAACCTTGGATTTAATGTTGAACTAGAAAAGTGGCAAAAACTATGGGAAAGAAACATTAAAGTAACTTTAGCAACTTCGTATAAAGAAAACTTATATAAAATGTTCTATAGATGGTATTTGTCACCAATTCAACTAGCTAAGATGTTTCCAAATATGTCAAATAGATGTTGGAAATGTAAACATAAAGTGGGTACTTTTTATCATATGTGGTGGACTTCTGACAACACAAAAAAATATTGGATTAAAATACATAGATGGATGGAGGAAATATTACAAAAACCCTTTGCTTTTAAACCCGAAGTTTTCTTGTTAGGCATTATACCGGAAGATGATAACGGACAGGAAATCTATTTGATGTTGCATCTAATTACAGCGGCGAGGATTGCATTTGCTCAGTATTGGAAAAGTGAGGAGCTGCCCACCAATGGATTGATTCTAAGAAAGATCTTGGACTGTGCAGAAATGGATAGACTAACTTTATCATTGAAGGAGAAAGAGGATACTGATTTCTGTCGAACTTGGGACTCTTTATAATTGGCTGGAGAAACGGGACTTGGCGTAAATTTAGAGATGTTTTTCAAACTATGATAAACTAACTGGAATTTGATATTAGAATGTTAAAAAATATGTAATAGGAGGTTGACCCAGTGAATCCAATGTTAATGTTTGTGATGTTTGATAGGGTTTTTTTTTAGTCTTAGTTTAAAAATGTTAATTTTATTTTATATATATATATATATATATATATATATATATAAATGATTTCCAGTGTTAGGCTCTCTTTGCTCTGTCTAGATTGTTGTGATAATCCGTGTCCTTTTTCCCATCCAGCTGCTAATGACCTTCCTTGTGCCCCAGCATTAATCAGTTCAAGAAAGCTGAACCAACATGCAGTTTTGAGCCTCCACAATTGCTCTGAATGCCCAGGTGGCATGACTGGCAGGAGCAGTGTAGCTGACTTTCTGCTGGGTTCATAATACTGCATTTCAGGAGCAAAATTTGAATAGGAAAGGGAAAGGCTCACCTAATTTTGATGAAGGGCTTGGTGGCCAACTGTATTTCTGCTAAACAGCAGAAGTATGCTAAAAGAGCTTCCAAAAGAGCTTACAATTTATTATTTATTTGGAGTTTTTGTATGCCATCCCAGTCGCATGAGCCTCGGGATGGCTTCCAATACAATAAATAAAGCGTATAAATAGTTCATATAAAATCCAGATTATAATGGGTGGAGAGTCTTCAGCCTGCGGACCCAATCTGGCTTGCACAACTTTTGGGAACTCCTTAGGGGGCAGGGCTTAGGTCCTGAGCCTAATCCCCTGGAGGAATCCTTTAGGATTAGTGATTCAAGAGCAGGGGCTGGTCTTGCACCCTGGCATACTGACTCAGGGAACAACAGCAGGTTTTCTGCAAGCCAAATACCACTGCCGTTGTGGGAACGGTGGGGGGAGCTTCCAGAAGATTTTTTATGGTGGCAGCACTCTTTCTCACTCAGATAATGTTTGCAGGGGGTAGTTCAGATGCTGTTCTTCTCCTCTTGTAACCTTTTGACGATTGTTCATGGCTGCTTTCCATCTTTTTTCTTGCCAGAGAAAATCAGTTAGGGTGACGAAGATGGAATGGCTGCACAGTTCCTTTTCATTGGTAGTGCTAGGAGCTCTTCCTCTGGGAGCTTCTTGCTCCCTAGAATTAAATTCATGGTTGCCGGGGTGACCATAATTGTTGACTGCAGGGAAAAGGTTTTGGAGGGTCTTACTACTTGTTGTGTGTGGCCTGCCTGCTTACCTGTGAATTTGTAAATAAACTGATATTATCAAGACCATTTATGTCTCCGTGTTTTCATGGGAAATCTAAATTCATGTGCTGCTCTGAAATTTCCTATCATTTTGTGAAGTTGAGTGCAAGTCAACTAACTATCTTGCAAATGCAAGCACAGATGGCCCTTTTTTCTCCTTTGGCTTTTCTCTTCATTTTGGGATTATAATCTTTTTTCTTGGTGTCTCACTTTTTAGACCTGTTCTTGGGGTTTTGGGGCACTGATTCAGAAAAGCACATTGGGTAGATTGCATCAGCTCTAGTTTCTTAGAGATGGTCAAATTTATATAATTTTTAAGTCAGTTTTTGAAAAGATCTTGCTCTTCAACTTGTTCTCCTGCTACCTAGCTTGTGGTTTTGCGTACACGTTAGCAGATATAGTGAGAATGTTTACATACTTCCAAATGTAATTTTACATCAGAAACATTGGATTCTAAAGGATAATTTATTAACTGTATTATAGTTATGATCATACAGGAGGTGTGTGTATATTCCCACTCAAAAACTAGAGCTGAGAGGGGGGAAATTGCTCTTATTTTTGGAATCAGCAGGTCAGATATACCTAGGAACAAGTCTAACATTCAAGGCACCAAAATCTGTGTTGACCAGTGTCACAGATTGAACTGGTTCCTGGAATACCCTTTCGTTCACGCTTTTTCTTTTCTGTTTTTACACAGAGCATCCAGGGACTGTAGTTGTCAATACATTGCAACTGAATGGCAGCTGCAGTTCTTGGGTTATCCTCCCATATTTTTCATTACATTTTTGCAATTATTACTATTTCACTTTTAAAAAGAATAGAATGAATCAGTAACTAAAGCCTCGAACTACAGTTCGCAATTGCTTATTAACTTCTGTGGAGAATACCAGCACAGAAAACGTACTTCTGGAAAGCAGCATACAGTAACAGACACATCCCAGCAGTAGCTAATGGCCTAAGCTTGAGAACTGGGAGTCCTTTCTTTTTTCCCATCCCCTACAAATGTTTTCCTCCCTTCATTGCACAAATGAAATTACAGTTCAATTTTAAAAGCAATACAACTTTTATTTGCACAAATTATGCAAAATAAATATACATTTCTAACCATATTTATGAAATACAAAGTTCAATATATATCTATAAAAATACAAATAGAGTTAAAAATAAAATAGTTGCATATTTTTCTAAAGTGATGGACAGATAGGTTTTTTTTTCTCATTTTGAAAGTTTATTTTCCAAAACCTGTTTCATTAATAAAATGGAGGACTCTGGGCAATGGTCTCACAGCTAAAAGGGAAAAGAGCCAGGCACTGAAAATAGCCTTTATCATGCCTAAATGTGACTTGTTCACATTTTGCAACTTGGGAGGTGGATAGAAGTTAAATAAGAGATAGTATGTTTACTAGGTGAAATAGAAAAACTCCATACTCTCCATTAGACCACATTTCAAATATGAAACGATGTCAACTGAGAGAAGCATTTCAGATACAAAAATGTACAAAACTATTTGCAGAAATACATACTATATTTGGAAAATAAAAACAAAATACATTAATGTTTTAATACTGAGACAACTTGGTTTTTCAACTCTGGATTTAGTTACATTTTTACAAATACTCTGCCTTTTTAAGAGATATTCAAAGTATCAATTGTGGGATATTTATTGAGACCATTTTGATAAACCAAAGTCTGCATGAAGTTGGTGCTTCATATAGGCTTCACTATTACCCCATATACCAGGAAAGCAGTATCTCCTCTTGATCACAACCAGAGGGCAGTGAATCAAAGTCCCCACACTCAGAGCATCATCTCATATCTGGCCGAGAAGACCGAGTCTAGAGTATGCCCTGCCACATATCAGGCCAATGATACGTTGGGACAGCCCCATAGTTACTACGGCAGCCATGGAACCCTGAGCCGTTCCAGATAACACACCCTCAGCACAAATGTTGAAATTCCTCCAGAAGCAACAGCCTGGGGGCGGGGGACGACAACTTCACATCTGAGACCGCTTCCCTCAGCTCAGGTAGGGAGACTGATGGGATGCAGGGTGGGCAGTACACCAGCAGAATCCCCAATCTATCACGCTGGCCCAACATAAGGTGCAAACACATGGAACTGGTTGTTGGATGGACAGCGCACCTGGAGGGAGAAACTGAATACTCCCAGACCATGGCACCCCACCCCGCAGCCCTCACGTTGCCTCAAGTATCCCGGTGAGCACAACTGGGGGAGACTAAAGTACAGTGCAGGAGTCCTCTTCACCACCACCTGGGAAGTGCCATATCAGTACTATTTTTAAATAAATAAAAATATAGTGTGTTATATATATATATACACACACTATATTTTAAAAACCCATAAATATGTAAATAAATATATAAATAAATGCACGTGTGCACAAATTAAATAAATAAGTTGAGACTTGCAATGGTGCGCATGTGGGCTCCCTTCTACCCACTTTCGAGTTTACGCATCATTTAAAGCTGCGCAATGAGAAAAGACTCTCGCCACCAGAGTGGCAAAGGACTGTAGACGCCACAGGATCAAAGCCTGCATTGGCTCCTCTGCCCATGTTCCCTGAGAAGCAGATGACTTGATGTTTTCGGTGGTTCCTTCGTCCTGTTGAAGAATAAAGCCTCCGAATTAAACATGTTTCCTCCCTTCTTGGACTCCTACATTGGCAACATTCTTCCACAGACACACAGCTATATAGTGCTGGGTCTCTGATACCTTGTGGGTTTGTGATACCTTGCTTGGCGCCCCCTAGGCTCCTTGCCCCTCCCAACTTTCCTACTATTTCTTAAGCCTTTTTTTAAAAAATTATATCCTGCCTTTTTCCTACAAAGCGCTCAAGGCAGCTTACATCTCCTCCATCTTATCCCCACAACAACAACCCTGTGAGGTAGGTTGGGCTGAGAGTCTGTGATTGGCCCAGTCACCCAGTTGGCTCCATGGCTGAGTGGGGACTAGAACCCAGATCATCTGAGTCCCAGTCCCATGCTCTTAACCACTACACCACACTGGCTTTTCAAAATTACTGGTTTTAAGGGGAGATGGTCATTCAAAGTGTGGCCCTGTAGCACCATCTTCACATTGGTTCAGGAGAGAGCTTTCGTCTATTGGAGTTCAGAGCCCACCTCTGCCTTGTAACTTAGTTTCTTGGGCAAGTTATTGCTAGTCCCACCAGTTTGCCTTCTGGGAAATTAGTGTTTTATGGTGCTGAGATAGCGCGCTACTCCTCCCCTGTGGCACACATAATTTAAGCATGCCCATCGACCCCAAAAGACTGGGGACCTCTGTTACAACGGGAAGATCAAGTTTTTCTAGATGGAGAAAGCAGATTCCCCCAAGTGATTCCATGAGCATCATCCTATGGCTGGAAGCACACCCAGACTGCAGGACAATGTCCAAGCTGATGGCGCCCCCACTTGCACATCTAACCCACACCCAGTCTGGTCTCAGTACTGACTGCTCCTTATTCCACATTTAACTTTTTTGTGTGGACAGGTGTCCACTCTTACAGAGACCTGTTAGAAGATACCTGTTGGAAGGTATCATCTGTTTGGAGGGCTATCCCATCCAGTTCCAGTTTTTGAAGATAAGGAGCCACCAGGAGGGAGACTGAGGAAGAGCCCTGAAGTTGCCCCTCAGCAGTGAGCACCTGAGCCACAAGGTCAGCAGGCCATCTTCCCCATTATGAAATTGCATTTCTATTTAAGAGTAGCTCCTACATCTACTTTTCTGGGTGCAAATTAGCATGTGCAAACTGCATGCAAGGTAAGTGCATCCTCCTTTGTCTTCTTTTGATGAGGAGCATAAGAGCTGTGCTGGATCAGCACGAGGTCCATCTATTCCAGCACTCTGTTCCCACAGCAGCCAACTGGCCGCTTGAGGGAAGCTCTCGAGCAGGGGGCTGCAGCACCCTCTCGTTTGGTTCATGCCCTCTTTAGCGTTTCTAATCACATCCAAACGAAATGCTGTCCTCCACCAAGTGTCCTATATGGCTCTTCATCTCTCGAGGCTGAGTGGGATGCTCCTTGCCCACACTCTCCTGCCTAGATGGAACAGAGCCCAATATTGCTCACAAGAGGGAGCCAAAGGCTTCTCTTGACTTCACTGAGAAATTTCTCTCAAAATCTTGCAAAGGAATTTTGCTGGGGAGAAAGAGGGTGGCTTATTTTGATTGTCCTACCATGAAGCGGCAGTTGTGCTCGCCTGGGAGAACTCTCTTTCTTTCTGAGTAAGGAAATCTTAAGGCACCAAAGCTGGAGCTGTTTAGCTGCAATGTTGCCATGTGGCCTAACTATACCCCACATCTGAGTTCATGTGCCTTTCATGTGTTTCCACCTTGAATTTTACTGCCTTGGCACCCCTTTTACCAAATCCCTTCCAACACATAACACACTTACATCTGAGAGTAGCTGTAACAGTTTAGTTAGGGTGTTTTGGATCTGAGTGGTTGACCGTGGGCTAGGAAACTCAATCAGAAGTTTGCGATAATGGTTAAGTTCCCGATGGATCTTCTTCAGGCAAGGCTAGGAAAGAGAGCAGAAGCCAAGGGTTATTTTATTTTAATGCCAGGCTTAGAATCCAGGAAGCTGTCTGGTCTGGAAACAAGACAGATACAGACCTCATCAGTATCTTGGATAGGAAATTAACTGAGAATCTCACTGAAGAGCAGAATATAAATCTGGGACAGCTTTAAATTTGCCTGTAAGGCACATCCTCTGATCTGGAAAATCTTCTCCCTAATGTTCTTTTAAAACCTGGCTCTGTTTAGGGCCACAGTAGCTTATTTCCCCCACCCGCTGCATATGCTGACAGATATGCAGAATTCCCCTATTTAGCACTAGCAGTAGGGAAACACAGAAGGGGTGCAATGTCTAGACTGTGCCCATTCCCATACAACTCTGTGAACCTTGTCTAGAAGTGAGGCAGAACACTGCACAGTTTCAGAGGCATTCTCAAATCTGTTACTTGCATCCTCCAAGATTAAGTTTTGGCATTCAGAGTAAATTCTGGGA